GCAGATGTGATCTGCTGCAGTGTTATACAGACGCTATTATTACTGCTAAAAACCCACGCAGTGTCTTATATACTGTATAGTTGAAGCTGTGAACCCCCTGGGATGTTATACAGACTGTATCATTGCAGTGTCGTATATAAAGTATAGTCGCAGCTATGGTCCACTGGGGATGTTATACAGACAGAATGGTTGCAGCGATGATTTCGCTAGACTCCCTGCAGTGTTGGATGGTTAAACCTGTTTTTGGAAAAAGAAAAAAAAATCGTACTTTAACACAGACATCTCTGTCCTTACTTTGAATGAATGTTTACGTTTACGAGAAGGGTAGGTAGCGGTGGGCTTATATTTTTTTTTTTCTTTTTTTTTTTCTGGGCTTATAGACAGACGTTACGAGATGAATTTCAAAGAATAGGTCTCTGCTGCTCCGTTTTATCATCTAAATAAATCTGTAAAAAGTCTAAAATTTCGGCTGTGCTTATTTTAAATGATGGAGATCAGAAAATGACTGCTGAATCCATACAAGGGTTACTTTTTAAAATTTTGCTCTTAATGATGGAGGGGGAGGAGGGGTGCCGGGTTGATGCCCTTAAAATTTCCGGTGTGGGGGTGGGGGAAACACGCGTTATTGTACCATACGGCGGCTCAGTTGTCTCCACTGTACCAGAACGGAGTCTCATGTGTCTTCCTGTGCTAACAATACCTCATCTACTATTAGTGCACATCAAACTCAGAATTATTTTTTTTAAATTCAAACAAACGTCGATATTCTTACGGTCAAAGGGACATAACAATTAAAATCATATGACAAAAATAAGACAAAGAGTGCTTTCCCTGTTATAATTGCATGTTAGGGGAAATAACTGTTATTCAGGTTTAGTAGTCAAGCTTTACTTCCCTTTTAATCAATTTCAAACTGATAAAAGAGGTTGACATAACATTACATGGGGACATAAGCATCGTCTCCGGGGGCATAGCTGGTTCTTTGAATCAATTTAATTCGTACGAATTTAGACTTTCTTTTAATTTTTTTTGTCTATTAAATTCTATTAAACCCCAGAATTTCCAAACTCTTAAACTGGCTTCGCATTTTATGATTGCACCCCCCCCCCCCCTTTCCCAAAATCATTTTAAAGCAGGGATTTTTCTCTAAATTATTATTATTAATCGAACATCCGCTCATAATGAATATACATCAACTTTTATTATAATTTGCAATGTATTTTATTTGAGAATTAAAATCTGCAAAAAAAAAAAAAAAAAATTGCATGCACTGAACAGTACGGTTGCGTCCTCATGGATAGGTCTATAAGATAACAGTTTGATGTCTAAAATAATGTCGCGCTTTTTTCCTTTTATTTTTTAAACCCAACCCTCCCCTCCTACATATAATCATATTGTCACACATATTTAGACCCCGACTCTAACATGCGTTTACAAAGTAGGAGTGTGACTCCCTCCCTTCTTCCCCTCCCATCCCCAACCCCTACAATTTGTACTTTTAAATAAAATATTTATTGAATGGTCAGTAAATACATTTGAGTAGCTTTTAATGTATTAAGTTTGTTATTTAATCAAAATAATCCACCAAAAACTACACTAACATTTTTAAAAAAAAAAAATACACGAAAACTTTCCTATAGTAAACCAGAGTTTCTTCCAGGCATCTCTTCGGGGGGTCTCTTTGCCCCCCCCCCCCCCCCCCCCCCCCCCCCCCCCGAAAATTTTTTACCGCCCCCCCCCCCCCCCCCCCCGAACGAAATGAAATTTATATAATTTATATAGAAAATATATACTTTTAACAGTGTCCGCCCCCCCCCCCCCTGAAGAAAGTTTACCGCCCCCCCCCCCGAAGATTTCAAGTGCCCCCCCCCCCCCGGAGAAAAAAAGTCTGGAAGAAACACTGTAGTAAACTTTATAAAGAGGGTTATCATTTACGAAAACAGCTTTTTACTTGGCTAACTGGCCACCGAACATTTAACAGTAGGCCTAGCCCCTATTTCTATTTTTCCACTTCCTGATTGTTAAGAAAAGCAGGGTTACCATGCTGGCAAATAAGCTATTTGTTTCGAGTGTGCACTATTATTAAAAACGTATTTTTTTCCAATTCTTTATTGCTATTATTTATGCAAATAACAACTTAAAGTAATAGTAATATTTTCTCCTTGAATTTATTTGAAATATGACAACTGAGCATGTGTAATTAGTTTGAATGAATGCAAAATCACACTGTGAAATATCGCTCTAGATTTTGGGCAATATTTTCTGGCCACCTTTGATTCAAGACACCCCCAAATTATGGCGATTGATTTGAGGAAGAATAAAGATACGCTAACAAAAGCGTATGAAAAAGTTGTGGATGATAAAGATGACACGAATTGGTAATGATTAAACTTTTGTATATGTCTGTTTTAGTTCTCAGTTTCAATTCAGTAACATATCTTTGTTTATTATTGAAGTCGCTGATCACACAGACCCGGTAGTTTAACAAACAAAACAAAAACTCTGGTCTAAAAAAAAAGTCTAAAATCAATCAAAACAAATGACAATTTATGAATTTAAGATTTAAATGACTAAAGTAGAGATTAATTGTAGCTTGTAGCGTCTATATGCCTAGTCTCAAAATGGCAAAATGATAACTAAAGAGATACGACACAAGAGTAAGACTCAGAACCTACTAATTTAGTACTAAACTACTAAGATTTTCATTGATGAAATTAATAAAATATCAAACTTAGCATGGCATATTTTAATTGATTTATTTAGTAGACCCTATAAAAAAAATTATCAATAGGCCTAGTCTTTAACACAATAGTAAGCTAAGTCAGTTAAGCATATATTAATTAACTTTCTGTCCAAAGTCATTGTAACTGGAAAAAAATTCTCAATATTAAGGGTGGTCTACTAACTCAGACTAACTGACTAACTTCATGAAAAAAAAAAAAATTCATTTTAAAATTCATGTTTGTCTTTAAAAATTTGTGTATAAACTTTGCAGAAATAAAGTAATATATTTATATTAGGAATGAGTGTATGTAACCTAAAGTTACTTGGATTGACAAACAACATATAAAAACCTATTAATAATATCATATTATGAGTGTGCTTGAAGTTATTTTGCCAGGTATGTCATTCATCGACCCCTTCACCCTTTCTGGTTTTAGAATTGGTTTGTCAAATTACCAAAAAAAAAGGAAATTTTGTAACTGGGAGGTACTTAGTATAATACTCAGACCATGGCCTAAACCAAGTACTACTTGAAGTAGGCTAAAATTACCCATTAGTAAATTGACAGAAGTAAGTGCTAGTGTTGGGCTTATGGTTTATTAGCCTAAGAGTGTTTATTTGAGATGTTTGATGTATAAAATCATAGGTATTTTTAAAATTTCAGGGCTTTATTTGGATATGAAGGACAGACTACAGTTTTAAAAGTTATTGAAACAGGAAGTAAGTTTTCAAGTATAACTTACATGATCATGCTTCATATTTTGTTCAATAGAAAATTGCCTTTACTTAGTATTTTTACTTCTATATCTTTCTGACATAAAAAATAAAGTTATTTTAAAGAAATAATTTAACAAAAAAATTATAAACAAACTTTATTTTTATTTGTTTTCATTCTTTAATTTTGTTTTTAAATAGATGGAGGGATTGACGAGATGGCAGATGAGCTCAGTAGTGGCAAAATGTTGTATGGCTACTGCAGAATTCAGGATCCCAATACTGGCCTTTTCAAATATGTCCTCATTCACTGGGTAGGTAACTTGTTTAACCTTGCTGCATAGTTCTGTTTGAAGTTAGAAGTACAGTAATACAGTTAGTAATACAGTTTTGTTGGCTGCAGATTAATCAAAATAGGTTTGGTCTAGCAGATTTTATTTGATTAAAATCAATGTTACAAACTTATGGTCGCTAAGTCAATTCTGATTTGTTTGAATGATGGATAAATAAAATAATGGAAATTTTCATTTTGTGACTTAAAATTTACTGTAAAAAAACCCACCCAACAATCAGTTTAGCTAAACATTTAACACTACTGTGTTCTTATTGTTATATAATTTGAATCTATGCATTAAGAAAGACAGATTTGTGTCATTATGTTAGAATCTAGTATAATAAAGCTGAAACAGCTAAATTTGTTAGTCTACTACATTTTGATTTTTATGCTCTATTTATCAGACAGGAGAAGGTGTTCCTGAAAATCTTAAGCTCAAATACACATCACACCTGAAAGATGTACAAAGTTTTTTAAGGGTGAGTTGTTGTGTTTCTGTGTTAAAAATAGTCTTTATTTTGTTGATTGATGCTTATAATCTGTATCACTAATACTCTTCATATTAACCTTTTTTTTTTCTTCCTTAAAAAGAGCATTCACATAACAGTCCCTGCACGCTCAGAACAGGACATAGATGCTGATGATATAGCAAAAAAGGTTGCAAAATCATCCGGTGCAAATTACAGTTTTCACAAAGAAAAAGCAAAGCCAGTTGAGCCAGCAGGCCCTGTGGTATTTAAATTATTCATTATCTAATTTAGACTAATTAAATGCATAACATTGTATTCATTAAACACTAAGAATTAATTTTATGTTTATATTTTAGTTGCACAGTTTTCTTATTGCTCTTAACATTTAAAATCAATTACACCAGAAGCATTTAAGTGTAAATATTATCTGGACAATCAAAATCTAAACTACTGTTTTTTATACTGTTTTCTTAGGGCACAGATTACCAGAGAATCATTCCAACTAAAGAAATTAATATTGGGTCCAGGGACCAGTTTTGGGCTAAGGCAGAGGTTTGTATGTCTTAAATTTATTTGTGAAGTAATGCTAAGCCATCACTGATTTGGGTGTTGTCTTTGATATTCTGCAAAAATCATACATAAATGAACATTGAGAAATATTTATGTATATAACATTATAATCGCCTTTATGAAAATTAAGGTCCGAAATTTTATATTTCTTATGTATAGAAAGATGAAATTGAGAGACAAAGACTAGAGAAAATTCGACTAGAGGAGGAAAGGAAGAAAGCTGAAGAAGAAAGGAAAGAAAGAGAGGTTTGATTAGTTTGTTGCCCTTTTGATTTCTCCTTTAACCCTTTACACAGCAATCCAATACCTCTTCTTTGTATAGAAACCTTTTTTTTTAACTTCCACCATAATGTTTAAAAGCAGTCTTTGTATATTAATACATTGAAGGATTTTATTAAATCAAAGCATTTGTAAAGTAAAATCATCTTATGTCAATAATTCTGAAACTAGGATCTCTGGTAATATGCAGTGTCTATTGATAAATTGCATGTACTCAAATTATTTTCTCTGAATTTTACATCTGATTCTTTATTTATTTATTTCTATGAATACTGTATACAATTATATTTTCCTCTCTATCCTAAACTATATTAACCCTTTACCACCCAAAAACCTACTCTGTGATATAGCCGCATGAATGCACACATGGCACATGTTCTCTTTCACGTTTTATTGTGGATTAGGCTAAAGAAACCAGGCAACGTGAACAAAGGATCTCACAGCACATGAGCACTGTGAACCAGCAGAGGCAAGCGGAGAAGAGAGCTGAAGAGGAAAATAAGGAACAGGAGAAAAGGAGATGGGTAAATATTGGCAGCATGCCTATGGTGACTTGATCTGAATTAAAAGTTTTATGCATGAAATTTGATCTAGGCTACACTCAGTAAAACTCACGTTTCTGCTAGTTAATGTTTTCTAGTATGAAAAATATTTGGTGCTTAAAATATCTTTTTATTTATATTTATATATACATCGGACATGCTATTTGTGGAATAATTTCTCAAGTTCACAATGCCGTTTGTTCAGCTAAATTGAAAACAAATTTAGCACAAATATCAGTTGAAAATTATCAAGCAGTTTAAAAATGCAATGTTGATAATTTGGAAACTGTCAGTTTGAAAGAACAATGTTTGTCTTCAGCTTTAAAAAAAAAATCAATCCAATACTTTAGAAAAGAGCACTCTAAAGAAAGAAATAGTGAAACAAAGATATACTGAAGCAAAACTTTTTTTTTGACATTTGTTATAGATCTAGTAAATTATACATAAAACCTATTTTACTACTTTTTCTAACAGTATAAGGACGATGCCCTCATATATATATATATATATATATATATATATATATATATATATATATATATATATATATATATATATATATAGGACTATAAACAAAATGGGCCATTTACATTTTTTAGCACTTTTTAAAATTAAGTATTTAATTTATTTAAACTTTATGTGTATTGTTAATCTATTAACTTTACGCTAATTTAGTTTAATGTTTTTTTACTAAATGTTGTCATAATATTTGTCCTTAGGTTCATAGTCCAGGTACAATTTTTATTTACCCTCATAACAATGTTTTTACCCTGCTTCCACAACCCTGCATTTTGTTTCCCATCCAGTTCACCTGATAAATTAACATAGAATGATGGATGACCCCAGATTTAGCTTTCAAAATGTATTTTAAACATTTTGGCTTTAAAGCCAAATTCTTACAATCAATAGGTGTTTGTTATCAAAGCATGACATAAAAGAAATTTGCACAGTGTTAAAAGTTTGGTAAAATGACTTCATGCTATTATTTTCCAAGTAACTATTACCTATTTCCATGTACGTTTTTTTAGGAGGAAACACAGAAGGAATCACTAGTGGATGAAAATGAACGTGGGCACCGCAGTGATCAGCTGAGGAAAGAAAGAGCAGCTGTATGTAAATTGACTCTTGGCATTGTTTAAAACTCACTTTAAAATCTTCTTTTTTTAAGTATACAAATGTAATCTAAAATTAAATTAAGTTGGACTACTTTTTCTGAGTAAATAAATCTGTTTGCTTTTTCATTTAAAGTAGATGAAATGTTTTTTCTAATTTCTGCCCAGTGTGAACGAGCCATGATTTACTTGTTATCAAACATATGGCTTAACCCAATTTTATACTACCAATTTAGGAGGCAGCTCAGATGGTCTCTTCCACTACCACCAGTGCTAGAGATTTCTTTAAACAAAAATCTGTGGAGAGGCCCGGAGTTCCCCAGAGGGCACCACCACCCCCAAAGTAAGTTCAAATAAAATTTTATCTTTATAAACTTGGGATAGATGGATCACAAGTTGGAGAAATTCTAAGTGAAAAGAGTTAGAATTCCATTTAGAAAAACCATTTTTTGTAAATAGCAGAATAAAATTACATCTTATGTTTTATTAAATTTTTATTATTAAAAAAAAAGAATTGCCACAGAAATGCAAATATTCCTTAATTTAATAATAATTTAAATGCTCTTTTATTTTATTCCATGTTGGATATTTATATTCTAAAATTTAAAATAGTATAGAAAGCTAGACGCAATTGTTTAATGCAACTTTCCAGAAAAATTATGCCTGCCTTTGGAGCCAAGGAAGAAAGCAGTGAATCCGCTCCCCCTGCTAGAAGAGAACCTATTAAACTGCCGAAAAGTGCTGGGCCGCCCCCACCCCCAGCCAGGGAACCTGAACCAGAGCCTGAACCTGTAAGTTATTTCTTTAATTTTTTAGTTAAAAAAATTATTTAAACATGCTTAAAAAAGCAGATTTTCTTGTTATAATTCATTCTTTTTTGTATGATACATAAGCATTATTTTAAAATATTTTTCTTGTAAATTCCTTAATTTTTTTTTTACTTTGAAGTACAATTTTTCTCTTCTCAATGTTTGTACAATTATTCACTGCAGTCTTATGAGCCTGAACCAGCTTATGAGCCTGAACCAGCTTATGAGCCTGAACCAGCTTACGAACCTGAGCCAGAGCCAGCTTATGAACCTGAGCCAGTTGCCTCCCCTGTCACATCACGCACGCCTGATTTATTGCGCAGTAGCTTGCCACCACGTCAGGACTCAGATGCTGAAGAAAGCAACGATCAAGAATGGGAAGGTCTGTGACTGTAGATAGATGGTTATGTAAACCTTACATTTTCCCATCATTTTGTTGTATTACTGATGGATTTTGTAAATGGAAACTGTGTTGTGTGTCTTTAGAGTAGAAATTAGGACTGTGTTGTGTATGTTAGAAGTGGTAATGAGAGCAGTGTTAGATTTGATGATGCGGAGCTGTGCTGCGTCTTAAACTTTTGAGGATCTGAATTTATTAACAAAAGCTGTATGTGGAGTAGAGTCAAAATGTGTGTAAATCTTCTGAGTGCCTGTCCTGGTTATGGTATATGCAAGTCTAAAACAAATGCTCTGTAAAAGTCACTTGTTATTTAAAATTCTAGTTAAATAATCTTGGTTATCAAGTTATAAAAAAGTATGCATTTAAATTGTTTTATTCACAAAATAATTAAGTGAATTATTTTTGTGTGTTCGTACTGTAGAGCCACCAGCAGAAGATTTTGAGTTCAGAGAAAAACGTGTGCCCTCATATCATGAAGATTACTCAGCAGCAGGTCAACATGCTGAGACCCAGTCGCATCGCATCAGCGGAGCTCAGCATTTCACGGAGCAGGAAGAGGAGCAGGAAACAGAGCAAGAGCGCACAATCCCCTCCACCCCTGTTGCAACAGACCAAGGCAAATGTGCCCGGGCATTATATGATTACCAAGCTAGTGAGTCTTATTGTGTCATATCATTCAAGTTGTTGTGGTAAAGTCGTTTACATGTATAACCCCCAAACTTTAAATTAAATTTATCATAGAAACCATCTGGCATGTAGGCTACTAAATCATGCTAATTTATTGCAAGATGTTCTATAAAAATAATGATTGTTTTAATTGTTTTTTTTTATTTTAAATATATAATATTTTTATTTTAAGTTTCAAAATGAATTTAAGTTTTAAAAATGGAGTATTTATCTAAGTTTTAAAATGAATTCCCTTTAAATTTTAAAACTTTTTATTGGATTTGAACCCAAGTTTTTAAAAAAAATTTTTTAAGTTTTACAAATTTTGTAGTATTTAACTTGTGTTATAATTAGCATCATCTTTGAGGCCGTTTATTTAGTTTAAAAATTGGAAAGAGTTTTAGCTTGAAGAATTCTTTCTGTTTTCAGGTGACGACACAGAGATCAGCTTTGACCCTGACCAAATTATCACAAACATTGAATTCATAGACAGTGGCTGGTGGCAAGGCTTTGCCCCTGATGGCTCTTATGGAATGTTTCCTGCTAATTATGTGGAGATAATCGACTAATGGATTTTTCGTTAATTAAATTTATATATGACGTATTTGTATGAACTCAGTTGGTGTAGAAGTTGTATCTGAAATCATCTGTGTATAAAAGCGCTATATTATTATTCAATGCTTGAATACATTATTTTATTTAAAAAACTGGTTTGGGGACTGCAAGTGGGGAAAGTTGGTTAAAGTAAAAAAAAAAAAATCACCAAAGCTGGGCTGATTATGTTTTTCTGTAGCCATTCTATTGGCAGCAAGAAAGAACCATGAAAACATTAAATTCAATGGTTTTATATTTTGTGGTTTGACATCGAGTATCTTGTTCCATTCTGTTATGTACAGGCATCATTTAGTCACCTGATTCAAACTTTAGTATTTTGTTTTAAATGTTTAAATCTATGAATATTGTAGTAAATTTTTTAGAAGATTTTTAAGCCATGGCTGTTACTGACTGTTAGATTTTTCAGTGATCATTTTGTCAAATTGCTCTGGCAAAGTACACATGTGAATGGAACATAGAATTCATGTTAGGTTTGAACATTGCCTAAGAATATTTTGTTAAATATCGATACAAGTCTCTAATTTCAGCTTAATTTTCTAGGTTGTTTGGGAAGAAGGGTTCAAAGTTTTTTGTTTTGTTCCTTGTGTCATTTTTTTTTTTACATTTTTAGATTTTTATGTAATAATTTTTTTTTTGTTATATATTTATGCTTCCAATATTCCTTGTTTCAATCATATTCTTATGCATAACAAAGTTTTAATCATACAAGCAGCACCTGATATGCACTATTCAACTGTCTTAAATAGATATACATGTCAGGTGACAGGTACACACATAACATAACATGAGCAAGAATCATCCTGAAATAAATAACATATGTACAAACATATCAGTATTTCCTGTGTATCAAAACATTGATGTTATTAGTCAGAAGTTTTCATCATTTAGTTCATTATTGGTGCAAGTTTATCGGAGTAGCGTTCTGCTTCATGAGTGGGAAAAGTTCTTATTTTATATACTTAATGTCTTTCTTTAATTTTTTGTTTTTTTTTGTTCTAATGTGTAGTATAACTTACTGTTTAAAAAATAATTCAAGCATTAAACTTGATTGTAATTTTTAAAATGTTAATAAATATAAAATTAAATATATCTTCATAAATTTTTTTATTTTTTAAGAAAAAATAATACATTATTGCATTTGTGAACAGGAATATGTTGCAGCAAATGTCAGTATTGTTTAAACTATAATGTTGATTACTGCCATTGTAACTGTATAGAACAAAAAGCTATGCACATTCATTAAACTAATGTTATGTGAAGTAGACTTGATGAATACAAATGTATGCTAGATGCCCAAAATCAATAAGCATCAAAACGTGTTAAAATAATTATCCAAAAAAAATAGCCGTTTCTTGGCTAAGTGCATTAGTAAAAAAAATGAAATAATTAATGCAAGAATTAATTGATGCTTATTAATTTTCATTGGCGTTAGTGACATCCATATATAAAAACACCTTTTCTCCAAAATCTCATCACTACAATGTTATCAAAATTATCATATGCCAAATATTTACTTCTTGTAATTTATTATATATCATACTTCTTAAATAAATGCATTCAGCAGACTCGATTATTGTAGCTTTTCTCATTTCAAGGTGTGTTTTTTTCCAATATGGTCAATACAAGAATTAAACAGCATGGTTGGTTGATTAAACACATAACTGCTAATCCAAAAGTCATGAGTTTGATACCTATGCTAATCCTGTGTGTCAGAGCACCCATATCTGACAGTGCTAAAAGTTCCCTCTTCAAATCTGATGGTCTATAGGGCAAGTGAAGTAGAGTTCACTTGTTTCTGTGACCCCGGCATATGAAGAGATAGTGTGGACAGCACTAAGCCCAGCCGACTTAACTTTCCCTAAGGTGAGTTAGGTACCCATCAGAGTTGGGTGGACTATGGGACGGTCTACTGACTTGAACCTGGATTTGAACTCGAGACTTACGGGTGAGCAGTCCAGCTCTCTATCGCTAGACCACTCCGTCCCCCTCTGACAGTGATACTCAACAGTAAATTCAGTGAAGAATGCAAAATCCTTGAATAAGCTGTGGTTTGTGACACAAATGACCACCTTTTGCCCACTCTCAGATCTAAAAGGTTACTTTCTGATCTACAATTACAGTTCTAATTATACTTGCTTCCTTTAATGCATACTTAGAGCTTATTACCTGGAGTAAAATGTCTCAACCATTTTTGCCATCTCCCTGAACGTTCAAATAATTTAAAAAATTATTCTGGAAGGAGGTATCACATTTAAACTTGCCTCCATTAATTAAGAACATGATAAAATTAAGACAAAGAAAATATTTTAACAAATATTTTTTATTAAATTCTGAAAGTGTGGACAAAAATGCGTAACAAAAACAAGGAATAATCATTAACATTTTTGACTAGTTTTTAAATGTGTCAAAAAGTTTGCATAAAGTTACATTTTATTGTAAATATCACAATTATTTACAGAATATTCTGCATATTTCTCTCTTTTATTAATGTGAAAGACAGACAATTTTGGTTGTGGTTAAACAATCAGACAAGAAAGAACAGATAAATTGCAATAATTAAAATTTTATGTAAGGAATTTTTTTTTTTCCAATGTCAATTAGTTATGTTAAACAAGGTTTTAGGTAAAACAAAGAAATCAATGCATGTAACAATTGTAAGTTGATCAAAAAACGTCCAAATGTGTGTTTAACCAAAGTATTTAAAACTTATAAAATGAAACCTATTTACAATTTAGTGACAACATCAATCAGCAGTTCTGAATATTCACAATGGCTTTGGTCAATTCTCATCTGCCGATATAATGTTCTCAAGTGAACTGGTTGTACAATAGAAGTCATCACAGTCAAACAAATTAAATAAAACAGATGTATAAAACAATGAATCAGAATTTAAAATGATATCAAAATAAACAAACTAGAAACAAGATGCAAGTTTGAAACAGCAGGAACAGGAAACATGTTTGTCAAAATACTGTGGACATTATCAAGACTCCACTTTTAAAGTTTTAATTTATACATAGCTTAATAACTTGTATATATTAAAAGTTAAAAACTTACACACATACACATCTATTACTCTGAAACATGTATGCAAATGCCATCTGTTAATATCACTACAGCACAATTCTACATTTTAAAACAATGCACAGTGATATTTTTTAAATTGAATACAAACAAGTTAATAAAAAAAAAATTCAAAACGTTTTCAATTTTTTTTTGTATGAAAAAAAAATAGCATAAACATTTTTCAATACTTTACCAGAGCAAAAAAGTAATAAATAATCTGAATGTCATTTGAGTAGAAATTTCTGCATGAATACTGGAATGTGTTGCAGTTGTAGGCTTTTCCTGACGTCTATGGGTTGAAGTTATTATGTCAAGCTGACAGTTGTAGGCTTTTCCTGATGTCTATGGGTTAAAGTTATTATGTCAAGCTCACAGTTGTAGGCTTCTGACATCTAGGGGTTGAAGTGTCTATATCAAGCAGACAGTTGTATGGGTTGAAGTGTCTATATCAGGCTGACAGAGTTGTAGGCTTCTCCTGACATCTCCCACATTTTGTGAGCAAGCCTTTTGCAGTGGTCTGCGATGTACTTGGGGTGGACGGTACCAATGTGCATCAGGAACATTTCAAAACAATGTACAGAGCCTTGGATGGCATGGGGGAAACACAACTGAAGCAGGTCTCTGATAGAAAAAAATTTGTATTATAGTCAAAATAATTATTATAGCTAAAAAAATTATTAAAGCTAATCTTATTTTTGAATAGATTATTAGTATAAGGAGAAATGAAAATGGAAGCTTTTTAAGAAATAATTAAAAATAGATAAATGGACCATATTTTAAGAATGAGTTCAGATAATATCACAACAATGGGGCTTAACTAGACACCTCAAAGAAAAAGAAAACTGTAGAGGCGCATAGCAGAATAAAAACTGTCAAGAGCAGGACTCTTATGGAACTGCCAAGAAAATTGCCAGAGACTGGCATAAGTGGAAAGAGCTTTCTGTGGCAGCCTCAAGTGTCCTCCTGAGCACAAGAGTGAAAAGATAAGGATGATAAAAATATTTTGCTAGGAAATTTTTTTAAAATCTAAAATATTTTATTTTTTAATAGGCCTACATAAGTTATTTCATAGAAAGCATATTTTAATATTCAAATTAGTATTTACATTATCCGTGAACTATTTAAACCGACACTTGACAAGTTGAAACCACTATCCAAGTTCCCTATTGCAGGTTATGTCTAACCTATAACAATAGAAAGTGTTTATATGATTCTATACCTGTAAAATGATCCACTCAATATCCCTGGGTAAGGAAACTTGATATTTGCTTTGAAACTATCTTGAACTGGAAGTGGGTTTCTCTGTAAAATCAATTATTTAATTAGAATAAATGCCTTTATAGAAGCCATTTAAAATTTATTTCCATTGAATTTTGATATTCATTTAATATTTATTTAATATTTATACAACAATAGGATTTTAAATTGTTTTTTTTTTATATAAAATTAATTTCTAACAGTAGCCATAAAAAAATAAAAACTCATACAAAGCTGGTAGAGAAAACTTGAGCTGTATCATAAATAATTAGATACAATTTTAATTACCATGTGATACTAATTAAATAAAAACACTGACCATGTAATCTTCGAACCACAGAAAGTAAGAAAAGTAGAAATCTCCTTCCCTGAGTATAACAGTGGTGTAGCCTTCAGTCAGTTTACACATCATGTGCTCATACCTGCTCCATATCTACAATTTCAGTGGAAAAATCATTTTTTTAACATATATATCCCATTCAGATTAATTATACAAAAAGGAATAAAAGGATTTGTTTTTCAATTAAAGCAACACATTGAGTATTCTTTAATTGCAAATTATTTGATGAAAAGACATGACAAATATATAGTTTTCTAATGCTCAAGAACTAATTTCTAGAAATGTTTCTAATCATTTAACATACATTAAAGTAGGGAGAAACACATGATTTAAGAGCCTTTTTAGGTCAAACCTTTTGTTTTAAATAGGTGGTGGCGTCGATACTTTCACCATCCTTTAAGGAGATGTTTAGGGAGGGAGCGCTCATTTGATGAAAGTGTCGGTCAATGTAGATAAAGTGAATTAGACCTGGAAAGTCATCGATGTAGCAGGTCATTGTAATGTTGCGCTGTGCCTTAACATTTAGATACTCTCTGTAGTCACTTAACTCTTTTAACATTCCCATCTGAAAATGTTAAAACAGGAAGTCATCTATGAATATGATTAAATCAGGTCATCTGGAATAGGTTCCTTTTTAGGTTTTTTAATTTTTAAAAGATTTATTAGTTAGAAGATGGGAAATATTAATTTCTGCATCCACAATGAAATTAGATAAACATTGAACTCAAGAAAAGTTGAATGTGAGATAAACTTGTGCAAAGAATACCCGGAAATGTCCAAGTATAATGCTTGTTTCCAGTTTTATTTATTTCTTATTTTTATTACAGCAAACTTGGGAAACAATTTTTTTTAAAAACCTGCAGATAGTAGTTGGAAAAATTACAAAACTACAAACATAAAATAAGAAGACAGCTTACCTTTATTTGGGATAAGGTGTTCCAGAATTGTGGGGAATGAGGAAAAGGTGACAAAAACAGATGGGAGAACAGTTCTTTTAACTTCTTGGATAATTCTTTCAATTGTGACTCAAGCCTGAAAGGAAACATTAGTTAACAAACTTTTATAAAAAGTTCCAAAATAGGTTATCTTTGGTAACTTAATAATAATTTTTTACAAATATTTTAAAAGTAACAGCTAAAATTTCTCTCTGTTTCTGTAGCAAGTTGTTTTTTACAATATAAGATTGTTATTTGTTTTATTGTATTAATGACTGTCATAAATATTATTTATTATAAGCTCTATGTGAAATTAATCTTAATACAATTATCAACTTAAGTAAATAACATTTTAAATATTCAATGGTTATTTATTTTTTCCATTACTCGCGTGTGACTAAAAATTGCAACTAAATGTAGCAACCCACTAACTCTGATTGCAGCTTGATGTCTGTTTCCATGTAGTCCATAAGTTTTTGCTTCAGATTTTCTTTTTCCCAACGGGCATGGATGTCACCACTTAGTGCATTCACTCTGCCCTGGCAATGGTGAAATTACACAACTATTTTAAACAAGTCTACAGCCATAATCTAGACTCACATATAGTAAATTTACACAACTATTTTAATCAAGCTGCCTGCCATAATTATTGCAATCTAGACTCCTATATAGTAAATTTACACAACTATTTTAATTAAGCATCCAGCTAATATTATGGAAACCTGTAATCCTGACATTTCAGGATGATTCATAAAATTGTAAGATATGAAAATGGAACATATTTTTATATATTCTTTCTTGGTTAATTTGAAGTGCATGTGATAACTAACTTATATTTTAAATTAAGACCTTGTTTTTAGTCAGCATGAAGATCCTGTGTGCAACCAGCTGTTATGAGTAAATTACTTGAGACTGGGAAACTAAACATTGAGCATGTTGCTGAATACATAATCCCTTGATATATAGAGGTCACAAAAACAGATGGATTACAACCATTGTATCCTAGATTGATCGCCAGGTCTAAAAGGATACTTCACTTTAAGTAACCCCAACCAGTAAATTTATAGTTAAACAACAATAAAAAAGTTTATAATACATGAAAAAGCTGTTGGGAGATTGTGCATTAAATAAATCTCAGTGTGGCGTAACTTACTTTTGATTTCTTCAAACTGCTGTGTAGTCTAGAAAGTAGGGAGTTGAGAGTATCATATGCATATGAGCTACGTGGTCTAGACAACTTGACCCGTCTTCCATAAATAAGATCATGTATGTTGTAAATGATCAGGTAAATGATATCAGCAATATTATGTCTTTGCACCTTAAAATAATTAAAATAAGACTTGACTGAAACTGAAGCGTCCTGACTAAATAATGACTAAACATTTAACAAAAAATAACAACACAGTAAGTGACTGTTTTACAAATAGTAAAGACACTAATAATTAAGGAAATTAAAAGAAATAATCTAATCTCAGGGTATTTTAATTATAAAAATTAATGTTTATATTGTTTTGTAATTGTTTGAACCTCAACCTCCACAAATGAACCAAGTAATTTACGTAGCTAAACAGAAGTAAAAAAATCTTATAATGTTTTAATTTTAAATTCAAGTTTTTATTCAGCGGATGTTAAAAACTCTTTTTCAGCTCATTCAAAGAAGTTAGCAACCATACAACTGTTAGGCCTACAATATCACTGATTTTACACACTGTGTACACCTTACAAATACCCTTATGGTATTACAAGTTTTTACAATGTTAGTCACATAGAATTCAAAATGCTATGGCAGCTAATTAGCCTAAAATTTTTTGTCCTAATTAATTGAAATACTTTATTAAAAAACTAACTCTACCAAGTAATTATTCTTCAAGACTATAATAATTAATTATTATAATTTATTACTTTAACCTACTATAAATGATTAATTTCAATAATTCATTTCCCTTCCAAGGTATGAAAATGAATTAAGACTACCAAAGTATAGCTTGTAGTCTTCATGATTTTAAACTAGCAAGTAATTCTTTATTTTGATAATAGCTCAATGCATCAATTAAAAAAGCAGCACCGGGTACAGTGCAGTAACAGTGCCTTGTGACAGCAATCAAACATAAAATTACCTGTGATAAAAGAACTAGTGTAACCCCAGGTAAAATCTGAACAGTGTGAATGTTGTATGGTGAGTACTGACAGGTGGGAGTCTCCAGGAAAATGGTTTGCGGTGAGTAGGAGTTAGGATTAGTCTGGGTGAAAATACTTTCTTGCAGAAAGCTTGATGTTTCCAAAGCCGATGTGGCAACACTGCTTGGCCTATTGTGGCTTGACAGGCTGGGTGTTGAAGAGTTCATTGCTTGGGGGATACCAATGTTTGGCTAACAATGTAAAGGAAACACTTTGTTTACAAAAAAAAACAGATGGTAATCCACAAGACAGTACAATTTTTTTTAAATCTGGTAAAATGTAGATACTGTGATGGTTTTAATAATTCAGCTAGCATCAACAAGTCTCAATGAAAAAACACCACTTATTTAAACACTTATTACGGTTGCATTGCTTGTTTATTTAATTCTTGATAGATCAAACTCACTTAGAGAATCATTGATTATCTCCACCTACCGTGACTCTTTTATTTCTTTGTACACTTCTCTCAAAGCTCTTCTCTATTTCATGAACCTCCACTCCTCCTGTGAAATTAAATTCCTTTCCATTGTCAGGTGTTAGTTCGGGGTAACTTTTACTCAAATTCGAAACAACTATAAAATAAAGAAACAGGCTAACAATTCTAGAATTTACACTGATAATTTTCATTAAATATTTAACCCAATTTGGTTTTAAAAATTAGCAAATTTATAGCCTGTTAATGAATTTTAAAGTATAGACCCTACTACAAACAGTTGAGTAAGTCAGTAAAAGTTATCAAGCATGTTCAAATACTGTACATTTAAAAAAAAATGAAAATAGGTGTCTAAATATAATTATTAGACCATAAATACTGTTAAAAGCTAATTAACAGTAAATGATTTATACATTAAAATAAATATATTTTCAACACATCAACTTACCTGAGCTTGATCTAGAAGGCAACAATAATTCCCCACCAGACTCAGTGGACACAGTTGATGCTCTTGATTCATTGTCATTAGTGTTAGAGGATATCCCACGTAAAAGATCAGCAGGCACTCTAGCTCCATCAGCGTTATCAAATTTACTTGTATCCTCCTGTTCAAACACCAGTTCTAAACCATCATTAAAAAATAAATCAGGGGTAGCGTCTTTAGCGTCAGCTTCTCTATGTACCTCAGCTTCGATGACCTTTGAACATGCGACAGATTTATCTTCGTTAAGTTCTGCTTCATCATGTTGAGGTGATGTGGTGGTTTTTGGTTTGCTGAACACAGTATCAGGGTATTTCTCTGCATACATCTCCAGCAAGGTAGGACCACTGTCTTGTGAGCCAACGCGGCTAGACGACTCTTGGTCAGACAAGCCAGCATTTTTTAAAGTTTCCGAGTCAGATGCTGAGAACTGGGACACAGACGTTCTTGGGGTCCTTGAGTCACTGGCTTCTTCTGTTTTGTTTAAGGTAGAACTGTACTTGCTGAATCCTGATTTTGTGTGTTCTGGTTTTACATTTGGAGACCTCGACCTTTGACCTCCAGGTGTGTTAGGAGCACTATGGTACTAAATAAGATTTGAAACAAAAATGCATGTACTTATTTTTTTTTAACTTTTTTGAATTAAATGATAAAAAGATTAGTCTAGCATTGGTTAGTTTTATACAATAAATTTTACATTTAAACTTCAATTACAAAATATGTGCTTTTACAACACCTGAAATGGGTTTCAAGTTTATCTATGTAAACCTATATAAAATAAATAAAAAAATTATTCCATACAAGGTAATTACGTGGCTGATCAAGTGTCAATCAGTTTAAACTATAAAGATTAATCTACCTCATCTTCCCCACCATCACTGTTCTCATCTATTGTGGAGGCTCTGGACCTCTGTGGTGCCATGTACTGTCTAGAAAACAAATCTTCTAGGCGATCTGAATGAGGGTACATTGTCCGAGCAAGAATCATAACTGCCAGAATATCTTTTGACTGAAGCTCATAGGCGTTGCGACTGACAGAGATATTAAAAGAAATTAAATTACGACTCCTTCAAAGTAGGCCATACTCTAATCAATGTATTTTGAAAAACACAAAACACTAATTGTGTTAAATATACATTCAAAACATACTTTGAGTACAGAGCCAACAGTTTGCTATTGACCAATAGAAGAGCATGCTGAATTGGGTGATCCTTAATGGCCTGCATTTGTTTGACTGATTTCTCAAGTATTTCAACACATTTTTCATTGACAACTTGGTTTACATTAAGTCTCTCAATGGCCTAGATTAAATTTAAAAACACATTCTTTTAAATAAATTATTGTTACAAGCTGGTTCTGTAAATTATAGAAAGAAAATATACATAATTAAAACTACATTGTTTAGGAGAGTTTTAGTTACATTTCAAAATGGGAAGGTAGATTTATTATTCAGAATTTTACTAACTAAAAGCAATCTTTCCAAGTAATAATGAATACAGAAAATGAAGTAAAGTTCACCTGTTATATATATTACTTAGTATTTAAAAAAGGATAAAATTGGAAATTATTATACATATTTAACTAAAAAACAGAAAGACATAGAAACACTGAAGAACATAAACCTACTTCTACAAGGTATGATTGTTCTGTTTCCACCAGCTCAGCCCAATTCCTCATGATCTGCCGATGAAAATCCCACTTTGCTCTCTTGCTATATGCATGTGACTGTCCCATTCTATTTAACAAGCATATTTTAAAAAGATTCTAATTTCATAGAAAAGATTATAATGCAAGTATTTATAAGTATATATTTAAAAGTTTCTAATTTTCATAAAAAATATTAGAATGTAAGTATTTATATGGATATTTTTTTTAATGTATAATTTTTGTACAAAAGATTACAATGTAAGTATTAAAATGCTAAACATGTTAATGAATGTCAATATGATGCTTATAATCAGGATTAGATACTTACTCTTCACTTACAGGCCCAAACATAAACCTCATAAGTGTTATAAATACATCCATTTTCCTGTGTAAGAAAGCTTCAGATTCTTTTTCATCTCCATTTATAGTGATAAAGAGAAGATCTTCCACCTGGATTGATGTAACAAATCAAGGTTTTTAGAATTGGCCAATACTTTTATCTTGAAACGACCAAAGATATTGCTAGATCTATATTCAATAAAAAGGAAAAAAAATCTAGATCTATACTAAGTTTAAATAAAATACAATGCCAGGCACAGTGGCAGAAGAAAAAAGTTTATCCATTAGTTATGACATATGTATAGGAAGATGAATGGATGGAATTCAGGTTTAAGCCCCTCTGTCTTTCTTGACTTAAGATAAACCTACTTATCAGAGCTGTTTTAACTAAAAAATGTCCCATCACTCAGTCCCAGGAAAGCAAACTAAAAACTTCTGGGCTAGCAATTGTGCGCTCAGATAACCAACCAAGCCATTTCATAATTCCTAGACAATAATGGTAAATTATTTCTCCCATGGATTTTAATTTTTTAGGTATTTTTTTAAAGGCCTACCTGTCTAAAAGCAAACCAGAATCCATTAGGACAGTAAATTGATGTGCATAACTCTTTCCTCTGGTCAATGAGAAGCCACTGGGAATTAACCAGAGGAGAAAACAGCTGCATCACCAGGTTTGCATCTAACTCAGTAATGTCAGTATCATGCTAAAGATGGGAAAAAATTGTAGGTCAATTATCAGAAGTCAAGATCTATAATCTACTATACTGTAATGAATCTATTATAGAAAGGGGACAGCGTGGTCGAATGGTAGAGCATATGATCTCTAACCTGTACGTCTAGAGTTTGAATCATAGTGACCACACTATCCCGTCATGTGGAGGTCACAGAAACGAATGATTTTAGATACTAATGTCCGATAGTAGACTCTTCCATAAAATAGGTGTGTTGGGTTGTTAAAAGTATTGTAATCTCGATTAATTTTATGGTTAGAAATTACTAATTAGGGTTAGGTGTATGGTAGGACTAGGGTTGGGGTTAGGGACAGGGTTAGCATTGACATTAGCCCAGAGGCGTAGCGAGAGGGGGGGGGGACATATGTCCAATGTTTCTTCCAGACTTTTTTCTCCGGGGGGGGGGGGGGGGCACTTGAAATCTTCGGGGGGGCGGTAAACTTTCTTCGGGGGGGGGGGGGGGGCGGACACTGTTAAAAGTAAATATATTCTCTATATAAATTATATAAAATTCATTTCATTCGGGGGGGGGGGGGGGGGCGGTAAAAAAATTTCGGGGGAAGAAACTCTGCATATGTCCCCGGGTGCCGACCTTAGGGGGGCGCCAAATTATAAGTTTAAGGGGGGGGGTGCAAATGAAAAGTTCGAGGGGGGGGGGCGCAAATTGAAAGTTTGTCCCCGGGCGCTGGGAGGGGTCGCTACGCCTCTGCATTAGCCAGCCATGTGTGTATTATTTAGTTAACTACCAGTCAGCAACTGCTACTGGTAGAGAATCTAGATCTAGATTAGATCTAGATCTAGTAAAAACTAAATAGTAAATATTAAATTTATTAAATAACATAAAAGTCTCCACCTGCAACATTCCTTTTATTTTTGCTTGACGAATTATATATTCAGCAAAATCTATATCGTAGTCGATATAAAATGGATCATTTAACTGGTTTACAACTAAGAAGCATTTCATGTTTGTAGATCACAACCAAAAGACTCAATAAAAGTAATCTAAACAAAACAATTTAACATAGGCATGTAAAAATAATTTAAAATATGATCTAGATCTAGCTTTCTAGCAGTAGACCCGATCTTTGTTTACATTTCCACTGTCGTGTTTTTGAGTATCGGTTACTCCGACATTGATAATATTAACCAATTTTACATGAAAAAGTTTCCTTTAAATTGATATTTAGATCTAGATAAAGTTATATGACCTAGATCTAGAATCTACATGAATTAGAAAATCTCTAAAAATGTGATTAAGTTAGCAAAACATTTTCTTTAATGAGTACATATGATGTTATGTTCGATTCCAATTGTTTCAATATTTTCCTATCGATACCACTTGGAAATAAAAAAATTCCCACTCGTGACTCTTTAAAATTAATAACTCCTTTTAAAAAGAATAGATTTTTTACCCGTGCAGAGGTAATCCGTTGAACTTATGACGTCGCTTATTCTATACTAGATCTATACGAAATTACTTTTTGCAGGCTTAGTACTAGTAGCATACAGATTGAACTGCCGGTTTTGAGAAAAATTGGGATGGAGAAAAATGATACCTAAACTTTCTTCCACTTTTTTCCGAGGGGGGAGGGGGGAAGAGACGATATTTTCGCCCCCTCCCCCCCCCCCCCCTTACGAAAAGCAAGATGCCTGGAACCTAAAAGAAACTCTGCTCCCAATGGAAGGAAATTGGAAAACATCGATCTAATCTTTTGCCATGGAATGGCCCAAAACTGAAGTGAACGGGATAGTATATAGGCCTACTAGATCTAGATAGTAGATAGGTCTTCAATTCATGACAAGACCTTATGCTACATCAAAAACCTCCAGTAGAAAACTCAAAATACTCAGCAATGATATAGCGTACATGATTATAATAAATGTGCAGTGTCCTCCACATTCCACCTCTTCAGTACCCCCTAAACATGATTCTTTGCATGCCCAACATCATTCCCTGGTGTTTCCTACATATGGCATTGCCTTGTTTTTAATTTTGCCTCATCTTAAAGTGAAATAAATAATTTCCTCAAAGATAATTTATAAACAGACCCAAGGTGTATGTGAATTGTTACTTGGATGGATTTTGTTCAACACACAAAGTAGGTCTACTGCCTATATAATCCCAGGGTCTATATGTTTAACCCTAGAAAAACTGCTTATAGAAATCTGCTTGAACTGAATTTGTTTTTGGTACACATTGTTTGCACAGAGTAATAATAGTATACAAGGATTATCTGAAACCACACACATTGAATACCCTTAAAATTGCTTTTGAATCGGTTGCTTTATTTCGTAAACTATTTTCTTCTGGAATCTTATTTATTTCTTTAAAGCACTATGCAAAAAAGATTTATGTACCATATTTATTATAAATTTGGTATTGTTTTGAGTTGTAACATGTTGGCGTAAGGTCAAAGGTGGCAGGTGTTGAGGCAGAGTGGATCATTTTATACATATTCCATGGTGCCTACTTATCAAGTGTTACTAGCAACATTCAAGGACCCTGCAGGTTGCAAAGTCCTTTCATAGAGTCAACGTTCTGGTGCTGAGGTATTAAAGTTCAAAATAGAATTCTGTAGATGGCTTTTAATTTAATCATGTATTAACAGAGGAGTCTAATGTTGCAGGTTTATACAAGAATGTAATGTTTATACTTTTAAACAAAATGATAGTACTAATTTATAACTGTTCCATAAAAATCTATAATAATGTTAAAGAGACAAACTTAGAAGTAACAAAATAAAAAGATACCAGAGTGAATTAAATATTTTATTTAAAAACAAACAAACAAACAAAATATTCAACTTTTCAAAAGTGTTATCACTCAAACACAGTCATGCTTTTTTGTAATGAATAAATTTATGTGCCTAAAAGGATTTTATTTAAAAACTTACTTCAAGTTAGAAAAATTTTTAAAGAAAAAGAGCAAAAGCTTTCTCAGCAATAATAAACATCAAACAACTAAAACCTCAAGGCATACTCCATTCACACTGAAACTGAAATACATATAGGCCTTCCTAACTTAAAAAAAACTATCTTTTTTTCTTTAATTTTCTTTTTAAATAAATAACTAAGTTTTTTCAGATATCAAAAATATTTAATCTTTAAAGTTTATGGTTTTTATTTCTAAAAGAGAAAAATTAAATGGTAAATCAAATCTAATTTCAAAAGTATCATTTTCTTCAAGGTAAAGATTACTTCCATTGTTTCTTGATGGAGATGTTCTTTTCTGAGTCTTTAAGCATAATCTGAAAAAAAAGTGTCAGGAGAAAAATAATTTTTAATCATGAAGCAAAGTTACTGATAATATACAACTTAACTTTAAAAAGTTCTCCATATTGATAGTTTTGTTTCAAACACATTTAAGATAAACATATTATTTTGAAGATAAAATACTTGAAAACAAAAGAGAAACACAATGTTTACCTTAGCTACAGCTAGTTCAAAATCTTCTTGTGTCACATGGACTCTCCTCTCTCTGAGGGCATACATGCCAGCTTCTGTGCACACACCCTGCAATTTTGAAATGCATGCCAGTTTAAAACAAATCATTCAATATTCTAATTTTAGGGAGGAACATAATTTTTTTGAATTTTGTAAGGGCTACCCTATGTGATAAATAAAAAAATTCTTAATACAATCTCAATTGTTGTCATCTACTGATCACATTTTGAAGATTATTAAAGTATCTCTGTACTTAAAAAATAACTAAGGAGGAAATAAAACTTCAAAATGTAACACTTTGCCACGCTGAAACAATTTGGTTTTAAATTAAACAATTTGGTTTTAAATATTTCTTACTTGGTTCTTCAGTGTAGTAGTCGATAAATAAACTAAGTTCAACAATCAATATTAGATAGTGCTTAGATTTCTAATATCTTAAAAAACCTTACTTTAACTTCTGCACCAGAAGCTCCGGGCATCATTTCGGCTATCTTTCTAAGATTGATACCTCGTGTAAGATTCATTTTACGGGAATGAATTTTCAAAATGTCAAGACGTGCCTGTAAAACAATGTGTCAAATAAAAATTAGGTAACTGTCTCAGTGGCTAAAATGAGAATAAAATAAATAGCATGAAAGAAACAACAATATTGATACTATAAAAATATGCATGTGTAATATTGAACCCAAGTTCAAATTACATAAAAATTTAAAAAATCATGCCAATTAGAATATTTAACATAATAAAATATAAAGAAATACAGAAAATTTAGAGAAATTTAAACTGATTTTAAAAACTATACTTTAGAGATTTTTATAAATTGAAATCCATAACTAAAAGGCTTAGCAAAGTGAAACACTATATTTTCAAAGGTAAAATATTATACACATACCTCCTCATTTGGTGGAGGGAACTCAATTTTTCTATCAATTCTGCCTGGTCGAAGAAGTGCAGAATCAAGGATATCTATTCTGTTTGTTGCCATAATTACCTATAATAGAACAGTTAATTACATTAAAATTTATTACAAAATTAAGATAGTTATAAATTTTAGATACAGAAAGAATTAATCAAAACAGACAGAATTAATAATAAAAATATGTTGTAACACTTGCGACAGGTTGATATTACTGGTAAAAAAGTGATACATAAAAAAATAACTAAAAAAAAAGTGTATTAGGTTTATGGTTTTTTCTCTCCTGCCATTTTTAAAAAATATATAAAACGAGCCGACCCGCGGCGTATCATACGCCGCTATTTAGTTGATTTATTTTCTACTTTTCAGTAATTCATAATTTGTGAATTCGACAGTACCAATGCTGCCACTGAAAATATTTGCTTTAAAACACTAACCCCCCTCCTTTCCCCTAACCCCGACCCTACACCCCCCCCCCCCCCCCCCGTGAAAGCAGAATCCTGTAAGTTTAAAGTCGGTTCAAACTAAATTATCTGCCCCTAATAACCGTCACTAAACCTGGCTGTACGGTTTGTAAACATTAACGTGACCACAGCTCAGCAGACCATGTGGGGGTGGGGACTGTAAGGAGGCGCTTGCAGCTTGTTTTCTAATGGCTCGCAGAGGAGAATTATATATATAGATATTTTCTCCCTGAAACCATGAGAAAGGGCTAAGGGAAAAAATCTTTAACAGCATTATTGTAGTTAGCCTAGGAAAAGTTTTGTTAAATATATGAAGCTAAATTAATAATAGCTTTAAAAAACAGCAAACCTTAATATTTTGTTTTGGCTCAAACCCATCCAGTTGGTTTAACAACTCCAACATTGTTCTTTGAACTTCACTATCACCTGTTTTAGAAAAAAAAAGCACATTTAGTAATAGAACTAAAGAAAATTATATTTTTTAAGTATTTACTTAGCAAATCATGTGAAAACTTACCACCAGAACCACTTTCTAATCTAGAGGAGCCAATTGAATCTATCTCATCCATGAAGATAATAGATGGAGCATGTTCTCTGTATAAAATCAATAAAATATTATTATTTAAGTCCTTGATAAAACTAGTTTTGTATAAGTGGATTCTTGAAAACAACAATTATGAATAGTTTTAAAAAATTTACTTAAAAAAAAAAACAATGGAAATAATATCTACACACTTAAAATTAAAACTATTGTATTTGAAACAAAGACATTAAAAGCAATAATTTAATTAGATATCTTACCTTGCCATAACAAAGAGCTCCCTGACCATTCTGGAACCTTCTCCAATAAACTTTTGAACCAACTCAGAACCAGAAACACGAATAAATGTGCACTCAGTGTGATGAGCCACAGCACGGGCTAACAGAGTTTTCCCAGTGCCCGGTGGTCCGTACAGCAACACACCCTAATGAAAATTATTTTTTAAATGATAAAAAACTATCAGCAGCTTAAAAAATAAATTAAGGATTAGTCAATGAGTAAATTATTATAAATTAAGATACAAACAATTTTCTAAACCATAATCACCTTAGGCTGAGCGATACCCAGTGCCTCAAATAATTCAGGGTGTTTCACTGGCAACTCAATAACTTCCTTGATCTCTTTGATCTGCTTGTCAAGACCACCAACCATTTCATAAGTTGAGTCTGGTACCTTTTCTACCATCATTAAACTCACTAATGGATCAACCTAGCAAAAACAAAAGAAGTGTTGTTTTGATATACTTTGTCATTCAAAAACTAATTGTAACAAAAATTACTACTATTCTTTAACAAAAGATTAAAAGTGAAACAAATACAAAATTTATAACTGTAGTCATTTACCTTATTGGGCAAAATTTTATGAAGCACATAGCTGTCGTTGCGCAGAGCAACTCGGCAGTTTGGAGTAACTTGATTCATATCAATGTTTTTATCTATGTCAACAACAAACTTTCCTTCTGGGTGAACCTAAGAATGTACACATATCCAGTGAAAAAAAAATGTCTACAAATTTTACATTATTATACAAATTTAAAAAGATGAATGTTGCCTAATGACAATATATACCTTAACCAGAACTTTTTTCTTATCCATGGGCTTGACAACCTCTCCTACATATGAACCTTGCTCTTGTAGGAGCTGAAGCTCTTCTCGCAGCATGCGAACTAAAATCAAAAGTTTACAGTCACATAAAATATACCTTTAAAATATAATGAGTTTAAATTAAAAATTACTAATTAACATATTTAGATATAAAATATACCTTTAGCATTGAGTTCATTTCGTTGAGCTTCCAGACGGCGCAAATTCTGTGTTCTCTCAGTAACAACCAACTACAACCAAAATAAGGTTTTTGAAATAAAGTCTACACCGTTAAAGTGTCATAAAAAAAAATAAAATCTGTGACTTATTTTCAACTATGTTGTAAAACTAACGCAGTTACTAAATAAACTTTTACTAACCTGCAACTCCTCTATCTTGCTAACATAATATTGCTTTATTCCTTGATGATTATTTTCATCAACCTCCATCCTCTGAAATTATAAAAATTGATTCTTTAGTAACATAGCCTACTGTACATAAGAAATTAATAAACAACCATAAATAATTTTTTTTTTAAATTAAGAGGCTTAATGTCTATGTTTAACTATGTACAGACATACATTTATTACTTTATTGAATTATTCTCTTTATTATGTAATTAATAATTTTTCTCACACACACAATTTTGTCTTAGTCTACAATTTGAAAGACAATTATCAAAACTAATGTTAGTTTTTGAGTCTTTAAAAATAAAATGATATTGATAGCTGAATATTTGTCCACAATAAATGTAACAAACAAGTCTTCGTATTCATTTGATGGTTCTTATCTAAAGGTACCATTAAGCCCAAACAGGATCAATTCATATTTTGTACTGATAAATATGTACTGATATGCAATGTACTGGCCAGACCATCCTTTCATGATCACTATCTGACTCTACCCCAGAGAGATGCAGATGGGACAGGTCAACTTTTTTTTCCAAATGTCAGTTGAATAAGCTTTTATACTGATTTACATCAAATTCCAATAATCATGGTAACCATGTCTATCATTTTCAAACAGTAATGTACCATATGACACAAAAACATCAAAAACCAAAAATAATTCAAAATTCTAAAGGAAAAAACTTTCATTACAAAGTATTTTGTCTAAATAAAAAAAAAAAATTCTAAACAGTTGAAAAATAAGAGAAACATCACTTGACAGTGAATTTTTTTTGACAAAGTATAATCAATAAAATAATCATTAAAAATGTTAAAATACAATAATAAAAAGTTGCCCACACTTCATGATCAAACATCTTTTAAAGAATTTTAGAAATATAACACAAATGTCTTTTGAAACTTGCTACTAATGAATAACTAAAACAAGTAGTTATGAAAAGTGAAAATCATTTTCAGTATTTTAAACTCTCCTACCCCAGCTTTAGAGCTAGTATCAAACCAATTATTAGAGGTATTGATCGGTTCCTGAAGCAAACTAGTTTCTACACAATTTCCCTTGCACTGAGATTGAATACATGCAAGCAAAGAAAACTGAAACAGATACATTATTTCCTTGAGTGATAAATATAACTGCTTTTAACTTTTATTATTCAATGGACAGCATGTTGATGCAAAACTTAGGTTGATAAAAAAGATATCTTTTTATATAAATACTATTTTTAAACGCACAATTCTGAATTTAAAAAAAAAAGATTTAGATACAGATACATTTATTTTTATATTTCTAAAAACAGATATACTATAACAAATATAGACCAACATAATTTTTTTAAGAGACTACTAAATATGATGGAAATTGAGAAGTTGCAAGGTGCTAGTGGACTTAAGACAGTACAGTAGGCCTATAATAAAAACATTACATTTGTTTATAAACAGAATTAAACAAAATGTTTTTAACTCCCATAATATATAGGCCTGTAACAATTAATACTTTAAAAAAATAGAAAATTCTATAATAATTCAGAATATTCATTGACATACTTTAATTCAAGGAATCGATGTCTTACTAATAAGATGATTTTATTTTTTAGGATACAATACAACAAAAATGTTTCAATGCAATTCTTCGTCATTTTTAATTGTAATGTTGGAGAGGATATCCTCCAACACAATTAAATATTATGTGTACATCTGAAATGCGCCATATAGGCAAATGACTGATTTCAACCTGCTTTTCTGTTTGGATTCGTTTCCATAGCCTTTGTCCATCCAAGAATAAACTACAAGGCAGCAGTTGCTTGATTTTGAAATTATCTCTCAGAGAAGAGTTGCTGTCCGTAGTAACGTTACTTTTATGAGATGATATGAATTTGTAAGGACTCCAATAGCCTGTGAACCACAATGATCTATTCTTCCAATTTAATTTGGAATAAATCACTGGAATCAATTAAAGTTTGCCTACTACCACTGGTGGACTAATTAAATTTACCTAGGTCTACCTATTTAATTATTTATTGTGCTTTTAGATTTGAAGTAGGACTATAATTTTATTATTTGTTGAATCTTATTGATTTCAGGGATTTTTAATTGGGCTACTTATAATAATATTATTATCATTGTTCTTTACTGATATATTAAAATACATTTAAATAAATTTATTAAGGTTTAATTTTTACAGGCCTGATAAATTAAATTTGATATTAGCCGAAGACCTAGGCTTACATTAATAATTAGTACATAGTTAACTAACTACATGGAGTAGGACATATGTACTGTCACTTGCTTTGTGGCAGGTTGTTTCTCTTGTTGACCAAACAACTAAAGCGAGGAAGCCGTCTGACATGCGCTGCACATGCCAATATTTGAAATATTTCTGGCAATCGGTTTATTAATTTTAATGTAAATGACAGATTTTAAAATCAAATAGATACAAATCTTAAATAAAATATGTTAACCTCCACAGGTAAAAAGCTTCATGAAAATTAACTAAATAGAAATCTGGTAACAAAATTAAATGTACTGGTTGATCTGTCAACCCTGCATAGTTCTCATCTGCACCCTACTAATATCAGGTTGTCATGGACATTTTTTTTATACCTGCACTGCTGTGGGTTGCAAAAAATAAAAATCATTGATTTAGCTCCTAATGAGCAAGCTAGAAATAGCCGTCAAATTAAGTGTTTGATGGAACTGGATTTAAGATGGATTTCTAGTTTTACGGGTAATGTTTTAATTGAGAAATAATGAGATTTAAAATTTTGTGTGAATTGCTAAACCTAGATCTACTAAATTCACATCTAAGATTCTAGGCGAAGAGAGACACACAACTAGAGTACTTCACTAGAATCTGGCTAGACTAGAAATAAAGTAATCTATCACTTTAGGTGCATAAAGTCGGCCGAGGCTAGTCTTAATGTGAAAAAAAAGTTGCCACATTTCTATGGCTTCATACAAGTCATTGTGATATATTTGTGTGTAATATAATAAATAGGGCCTAATTGAATAATAAACCAAAAGCAATGGCTAAATATATCAATACAAGCCAGAAATCAACTTTGAACAGCAGTGTTTGTGAGCAAAATTTGCAATATAATGGGACAGCAGCCACTAAATTAGAGTGGATTCCCATGAATCTCTAACTAGATCTACAATTTTACCAAAAAAAACGTAAACAAGATTGCTGCTAAAGTAGATCTACATGAGTTTGGATGCATCTGATGAAAACATGGCTAGTCTTTACTTAGGCCCTACCACTGAAAAGTTTTAATACAACTGTTTAAAAACAGGTATATGAGTGACACTTTCATTCAAAGTACTTTCAAACAATTTAGGCCCCCTTAATTTAAATTATCCTCTTAAAAATGTAAAATAATTACTAAAAGGCCGATGCTAGCCGGAAAAAGATACGCATGCGCAAGGAAGAGAAACTACGACTTGCCATCGTAGTGATGTTTTCGATGGTACTGCGCATGTGTGTGTTTACAGCCACAGAAACCTAGCCCTAACCCCAACCTTAGCCCCAAACCTAATCCTATCCCTAACCCTAGCCATAGGTCACTGCGCATGCGCAGAAATATCTTTCGCAGACTAAGTGGAGATGGGGAGAAAAATCTTTTTCAGAGTAGTCACTTCATTACTAAAACGAAGTGTCTATTCACAGTCGACTGTGAATAGCCGTATTGGGCTATTCACAGTCGTATTCACGTGACCATTTTTGATAGATTTAATGTTAAAAATACCTAACTAGGCATGAAGATGTGTGATCGAGAGGTCATTGGGAGTGGCTGCCGTACCAGAAGGAGTGGGTTCAAATCCATCAGATGCCCTATTTCTATGTATCTTAATGTACGTCTCTCAATCTTAATATATTTTTTCAGTTACTTAAGTTACTCATCGAAGGGTTACTTTTGTTAATTTTTTTGTTGGCATATTAGCAAAAAAAAAAAAAAAGAGAGAGAGAATACACAAAAGTGTGATGGAAACTGAATTATAGCTGATGAAAAAGGACATCCTATTTCACCTGATATTTATTCTATGTGATAATGTGAATTTTTAATGATAATTGATAAGTGAATAGCAATGTGAACAACCAACTAAACTTTGCGATTTGCACCCCCGCTCATGATTTCCATTTGCACCCCCCCCCTCCCTCAAACTTTCCATTTTTGCCCCCCCCCCTTGCTACGCTACTGCCTATGACCTACGTAGTACGTAGCCTGTAGCAGATATGTCTGATATGAGCCTAAAAGCTAAACTAAACTTTAATTGTAATAACTTTTTTATAACAAAATAAAAATAGCACTGCTCTCTTAATGTATACCTCATTCCCCAGTCACAATAAATGCTTTTATTATTTAAAGATATTATTCAAAGTCGTATTTAGCATGAAATGACAGCCGACTGTGAATAGCCGTATTGGGGCTATTCACAGTCGGCTGGGAATAGCCCCAATACGGCTATTCCCAACCGGCTGGGAATAGCCTTGGCCTTACTAAAATATAATGAGTCCCCTTTTTTAAAATAACTAGCCTCGGCCGATTTTACGTAGATCTAGAATGCTAGATCTAGATTCTATCTAAATTCTAAAACGATAGATAAGGGCGATTAGGGCTTAGGTAGTGGCCTAGTCGCCGTTGTAGAATCTACCAGAAACATCAGATGTCCTACGACCAGTACGACGTCTACTAGATATATAGATTTCTAGAATCTAGATCTAACTAAAATTACTAAAATAACTAAAAGGTCCATAGACCGATTAAAACTAGATATAAATCTATATTTAAACTATATAATACTTTTTGGCACATGTCAACTGTAGACTTCTATATTGACAAACAATCATGCGAACGGGGAACCTATAATTTTATGTTCTATTCGAAAAGATAAAGAGAAGAATGACATGAAAATATTACCCTGTCCGCCATCTTCGAACATTAAAAAGTGGTACTTTTAAAAATTCAATAGTAGATCTACGTAAATATTTAGATCTAGATATCTTGCTTTTTTAAAAATTATTCAATGTAATACATGTATACAATACTATAAATACATATTTAGCGTAGAGTTATATTTTTTAAAAGAATAAGACCATGGTAGACCATATAGCCTATTTCAACCGTAGTTACACTTATTTTTTTTCAAGCCATTGACCCTTCCAATATTTGTAGTTGCCTTTAATTGCATATTGGGCCTAAGTTCTTGTAGGCTGGGCCGAAATAATATCCGCATTGAAATAATTTATACATTAATCTAGTTTATCAATTTCCATTTCAATTATAAACATATTAGTCGTACGATCTAAAATTAAACTAGGTGCTAGGTTAGTCTGGATTCTTGATTATATAGATCTATGAGTTTAAGACAAAAATACAATTAAGAGGTAAGATCATCATTAATAACTTACTTTTATTTAACTTAGGACTTAGTTAGGGTAGGCCTAGGCCACTACTAACTACTAACTTTATTACTTTAAATTAAAACTTTAATTAGATCTAGATCTAGAGTTAATTATAATTAGAGTAGGTCTAACTATAATCTAATCTAGATATAATATAGATAGATAGTAATTTATTATTTATCTATAGCCTAAATTCTAGATATAATTAAATAATTCCCTTCTTGCCTCTTGGAGATGTAGAAAACACCAAGCTGTAAGCACTCAGAGCAGTCCCCTCTCTAGGCATATCGCAACCACCCCCACCCCCCACATGGTCTGGTGAGCTGTGGTTCACACTAAATGTTAACAATCGTAGAGCCGGGTTTAGTGACAGCTAGATCTATTAGACTATTAGGGGCAGATAATTTAGTTTGAAACTATTTTAAACTTAAAGGAGGTAACTAAGAGGAAGCTGTTTTCACAGGTCGGGGGGGAGGGGGGGGGGGGGAAAGGAGGGTTTTAGTGTTTTATAGCAAATACTTTCAGTGACAGCATTGGTACTGTCGAATTCACAAATTATGAATTACTGAAAAGTAAAAAATAAAACTAAATAACGGCGTGTCATATGCCGCGGGTCGGCTCGTATTTTATATTGAGGTAATGTTCACCTCCAGTTGAGCGTATTTTATTATAAACACAACCAAAACACACTTTAGTTGACTCTAGTTAAATCTAGTGACACTCTAGTCTTTTACTTTTTGAGACTTTTTAGCAGAACATTTCATATTCATAACAATAAATAACAAGAAGAAAACTCCAAAATCAAATAACTGATGCCTTGTAGTTTGTTCTTGGATGGATGCAAATCCATAAAAGATAAGCAGGTTGAAATTGGAGTCAACTGCCTATATTGCACACAATAGTTTGACACGAAATACTTAATTGTGTTGGAGGAAATCCTGTCCAACATTACAGATAATAAGAAGTTGCACTGCAGTCTGTCTAAATGAACTTTTCTCAGACTTTTCTCCATAGCATAAATTAATTAAAAAAAAACAGTGAATGATATTCACTGCATACCTGCACAAGTTTGTTTCTTTTAGACAATCAGCAGAGCTTAAAATGATGTTTGTATATTAAATATAATATTTCGGTAATATTAATTAATTGAAGACTTACATTATTTTCTGTATACTAATACTTAATAAGTGTGATATATCTTATTGTATTATGAATCAAATATTAAGTTTTCAATTTTAAGGCAATCCTTAAAGCTGATTTTAACCCCATAGGGGGCCTACTTGTGATCAGAAAAAGTCAAACAAATCTCCATCTAAAAAGATTTTATAAAGCTCTACATTCCACTTCCTCCTAGCCATAGTTCTCATACTATGGCTTTCCCTGTGTCCTCAAAATTTACAAAATTGTTTGTTTGGTGTCACAATTTAACAAAGTTTTAACTATCACCTCAGATGTATGATGCCATAAATGGATAATCCTGTATACTTTTTAAAATAATTTGAATTAGTAGGCCTACTTAGATCATAATTAATCATGCCGTCCGCATACATAGATTATGGACCATCCATAAATGGCATCACATACTTAAGGAATGTAGTTTCAGACATCTATGAAGATGTTTTTCTAACTTACTTTTATTACTGCAAGTATGAGTACAAATATGGCAAGATTTACTGACAAGTGAAATAAATGACTCTTTATTTTGGAGTCATATTTAATTAATTCCAAAAGGAAATACTTGAGCTAAACATTCATTGTACATCTTTTGTATTTTGTATTCACCTACATAACTGTGTTATGACACTTTTTTATATATAAATACCAAATCCAATTTTAAAATAATATTTCAAAAATGCAGTGATGCAGAATAAACAAGCAGATAAATATCTACATTTGATGTATATAATGTAAGCTATAAAAATCATGGAAACATGAATTTTGATTGACAGTGTGAATCCACAAAGGAATTGAGTGCACTATTTGCTGTCTTTTTTTGACTTACCCATTCTGGTTCACTGAATATTGTGACATAGTATTAGTTGTAGGGAGAGTCTTATGAACTCTAGAAGTCGAAGGGAGTGACATAAGATAAGCAATGGGGTACTAAAAACTTCTTTGCAGTTTGACAATTAGTTGGGCCTTAAGAGCTGTTTTAGTTTGACATTAAGTAAGCCCTAAGAATTGTTGTAGTTTGACAATAAGTGGGGCCCTAAGAATTGTTGTAGTTTGACAATAAGTGGGGCCCTAAGAACTGTTGTTTGACAGTAAGTGGGGCCCTAAGAATTGTTGTAGTTTGACAATAAGTGGGGCCCCTAAGAATTGTTGTTTGACAATAAGTGGGGCCCTAAGAACTGTTGTTTGACAGTAAGTGGGGCCCTAAGAATTGTTGTAGTTTGACAATAAGTGGGGCCCCTAAGAATTGTTGTTTGACAATAAGTGGGGCCCTAAGAACTGTTGTTTGACAGTAAGTGGGGCCCTAAGAATTGTTGTAGTTAGACAATAAGTGGGCTCCTAAGAATTGTTGTAGTTTGACAATTAGTGGGGCCCTGAGAATTGTAGTTTGACAATAAGTGGGGCCCTAAGAATTGTTGTTTGACAATAAGTTGGACCCTAAGAATTGTTGTTTGACAGTAAGTGGGGCCCCAAAAATTGTACTTTGACAATAAGTGGGGCCCTAAGAATTGTTGTAATTTGACAATAAGTGGGGCCCCTAAGAATTGTTGTAGTTTGACAATAAGTGGGGCCCCTAAGAATTGTTGTAGTTTGACAATAAGTGGGGCGCTAAGAATTGTTGTTTGACAGTAAGTGGGGCCCTAAGAATTGTTATTTGACAGTAAGTGTGGCCCTAAGAATTGTAGTTTGACAATAAGTGGGGCCCTAAGAATTGTTGTTTGACAATAATTGGGTTCCTTGAAATTTAACCTACAAAATGAAAAAGAGAAATTCAAGAAACAATGTCCTAACACAAATCTTACAGAAAAAAAAAACCCATAAAACAACAGATGTTTGCTTTGAACATTTTATGGATTTATGATTGTCTACTAACATGTTTTATAGGTTTTGGGCTTTTAACTTTAAGCTTAGGCTGAATAATTGTATCAAACTAAAATTCCTTTCAAACAGTGTATATTAGTATATATCGACCCTCCAGTCTTGTTTTAGTATTAACTAGCTTGTGTGTCCGCCTATGTGTAGACACACCAGAGGCATAGCGAGCCTTCCCGGCGCCCGGGAGGCAAGCTCTCAATTTGGCGACCCCAATCGGGAGCAAATTTTCAGTTAGCAACCCCCCTTCAAACTTTTGATTTGCACCCCCCCCCCCCCCCCCCCCCATCGCTACGCCTCTTAGACACAGCCTAAAATTATTTACATTTTTCCATTCTTCCATTCATGCACATGCAAGAATGTAGTGAGAAATAGTTCATTCGTCGAAATATTTATAGTAGGGCATGCAGTCCGTAAACCCACTATATTGATGGTTTAGGCTTTCTTTGGTAGAATCCTGGATCCGGACAAAAAGGCCGGCACGTTGTTATCGGCTCTAACAGTTAGATCTAGATCTATATGAAAACTTTGCGCATGACTGATCGGTAGGTGGCTTAGTACTTTGAGTGTAGAGTAGGCCTATGCGTTGTAGAAGTACCATCAAAAACTACATTCACACCGAGACACTGTATACAGTGTGAACTAGAACTATCACTGACACACCTATCGCGCCTACTCACTTTCGTATTATTGTAAAGTAAACCATTTACTTTTATTGTTGTCTAGCTATGTGAGATACTTAATCATAGGGTTAAGAATAATGAGATATTCGATTTTGAATGTTCTATCAATGAGCCGAACATGCCTTCCGTAAATGACGTCACACTTTTGTTGACATTATTTTTTAACCTCCCCACCGTCACACATCGTCCCAAATAGCCAGAGGTAACATCTTTCTAAAATATTGACTACGCTCGTTCAGCCTAGTAAATTTATCAATTTATATTACAATTTAAAAAAAAAAGTTTTCGAAAACGCGGACAAACTTCACTTTTTTAATTATGCAAAAGTGTGACGTCCAACTATTTAAACAACCCCCACCCCCAATCACACATCGTCTTAAACCCAACTTCCTCCCCATATGAGTGAGACGTCATTTAAGGACGGGACCCCCCTCTCCCCCTCCCTCTCCCCCTCCATTAATTAGTCTGACGGTTAGTTCACGGAGACTATTTTCCTTTCGATTTCTCCGTACGATTTACTTTGAACTTTAACCTAAGAAAAAGATTATTCTAGACTTGATGTTTCCTTTACCCCGCCGGGACTCCACCCCTCCAGAGTTTCTTCCAGGCATCTCTCCGAAAAATTTTTACCGCTTCCCCGAACGAAATGAAATTTATATAATTTCTATAGAAAATATATACTTTTAACAGTGTCCGCCCCCCCCCGAAGAAAGTTTACCGCCCCCCCGGAGAAAAATGTCTGGAAGAAACACTGCACCCCTCTTTCTGTAACGCTTATGGATTGAAAACAAGAGTGGAGGGGGGGGGGGGGGATTATCCGCTCAAGTGGCTCATAGAAAATACATTTAGTAATGTCCTATTGAAAGATAACGCGGATTTGCTTCACCCTAAAATACGCCCGTCCTCTTTGCCTACGTATTTGACGGGTGGGAAATCTAACCCAACAATAATATTTTGGTGGTGTTGCAAATATCTTGTTGGGGTAACACACTTAACAATAGGTAATACACGGGTTGTTGGTGTCACTTCTAGCTTAAACAACACAGCCAAACCCACTATTCAGACACACCCCGTACTTGTAGGCCTACAGACGGGCGTGTCGCGTGGTGTGTTTATTCATAGCAGTGTGTCGTTCCTTTAACGGCAGGATCGTATTATGACACGTGTGAAAGGGGGAGGACTGTCGCGATATTTTTTGTTTCACTTCCCTAAACAAAATTGGTCGAGCGTTCATTCTTATGAACACACGAATGATTGCGTCAATGGAAAAAGCAACGCATAAATAATAAATATTTCATTGAGACTTGTGTGTTATTTTGTGTAACCTATTATATGCCTACTTTTATTTTTAGAAATGGTGTGAGCATTTTGTCGTTTCAGCTGAAATTGACCATACTATTATTTATTAGAGTGGTAAATGGTACATACATATTTTTTTTTTTTAAAGATAGGTATTCCGCAGACCCACATAAAACAAATTAATTTTTATATGGAGGGATGAATGATGTGTTGTATCTAATGACGATGATAGATGTAGCCGACATCTAATGACGATGATAGATGTAGCCGACATCTAATGACGATGATAGATGTAGCCGACATCTAATGACGATGATAGATGTATCCGACATCATATGACGATGATAGATGTAGCCGACATCTAATGACGATGATAGATGTATCCGACATCATATGACGATGATAGATGTAGCCGACATCTAATGACGATGATAGATGTAGCCGACATCTAATGACGATGATAGATGTAGCCGACATCTAATGACGATGATAGATGTATCCGACATCATATGACGATGATAGATGTATCCGACATCATATGACGATGATAGATGTAGCCGACATCTAATGACGATGATAGATGTATCCGACATCATATGACGATGATAGATGTAGCCGACATCATATGACGATGATAGATGTAGCCGACATCATATGACGATGATAGATGTATCCGACATCATATGACGATGAAAGATGTATCCGACATCATATGACGATGATAGATGTATCCGACATCATATGACGATGAAAGATGTAGCCGACATCATATGACGATGATAGATGTATCCGACATCATATGACGATGATAGATGTATCCGACATCATATGACGATGATAGATGTAGCCGACATCATATGACGATGATAGATGTATCCGACATCATATGACGATGAAAGATGTAGCCGACATCATATGACGATGATAGATGTATCCGACATCATATGACGATGATAGATGTAGCCGACATCATATGACGATGATAGATGTATCCGACATCATATGACGATGATAGATGTATCCGACATCATATGACGATGATAGATGTATCCGACATCATATGACGATGATAGATGTAGCCGACATCATATGACGATGATAGATGTATCCGACATCATATGACGATGATAGATGTAGCCGACATCATATGACGATGATAGATGTATCCGACATCTAATGACGATGATAGATGTAGCCGACATCTAATGACGATGATAGATGTATCCGACATCATATGACGATGATAGATGTATCCGACATCATATGACGATGATAGATGTATCCGACATCATATGACGATGATAGATGTAGCCGACATCATCACGATGATAGATGTAGCCTACATCTACTAGTCTACGGCACAGAACTACATTTAAATATCATTTACCAACCACCCCGTTAGCATTGTTGCAATTATCAGAACCACCCAACAGTATTTCGTTGAATGACGTCATGCCACTATGTTCAGTATCGAGTAGACTAGATTGAAAAAAAAATCCATTCCGATTTTTTTGCTTGTATTTCAACTTTTTCAATAAATCGCTTCGATTTCGCGGGATTGTTAAATTTTCGATATAACACGGCAACAAAATCACTCCACGCTGTGTTATGGGTCTGCTACACGCAGTGTTAAAGGACAACATGTGTCCGTAGAGTTTCACGTCAAAGGAGGGTGCCCAACCGTGTGTGAAGTCGCACAGCAAGCGCAGGTATAAACCGTGCTTGTGTTGAAACAGTATAGGTCTAATGATGCTGTAAACTATTAATTTCAAGCGGATTTGTTTCAAATATTTAATCTAACTAATAAAGAAATCTCGTGGCCATTATTCTTTAGTTCAAAGTTGTCATCCTTTGATCAGTGAAAGTTGCAAAAAATTTAAAGTAGGCCTACGTTAATGAGTAAATCACTAAAACTAAGCATGCTTTTTGAAATATTTTTAAATTGAACAACACAAAATATAATAAGAATTAATTAAAGAGCAAGTATAGCCTATACAATTTTTAACTCTTTTACTTTTAGAAAATTTGCTGTTTTTCTTTTTAGAATAAAATATTGCTGAAAGTCAATGAATAAATGTGATTTATTTTAGATGTGTATTTGAAGTAGATGTATGTGTAAGGGTATGTTGTGGCATTTGATAAGTAGTAAAGTTGCCCTGCACTTGTACACATTGAGTCATCAATGTGGAAACCTTGCTAGTTTACTGCCTGCTTTTGAAATTGCTTAGTCAAGGATAACATTGAATGCTGAATGTTAAATGTAGGGAAGTATGGTTGTATACTTTTATAGACCAGTTTTAAGATATTTTGAATTGCCTTCCTTTGAAATGTTTCTGAAGCTTTGAAAGCAGTGTTACTCAATAGTTATGGTTCACTATATATATTTGATCTATTTTAAACAAGGCATGTTTTAGTTTGCCATATCATTTAGAGTTTGTTTTACATATAGTACTTTCTGAGTTAAATTTACTTTACTATGCTAAAAACTCCAATTAATAACAGTATTATCAGAAAAAAAAATTATTTAAAAAAAAAAACTTTAAGGCTATTTGGAAATACAGGTTTATTAGAAACATTCTTTCTTGTCATGATTCAGTGATATTTTGATAAGCCTATTATTTTCTTATTCCTTAAAGGTTAAGTATGGGTAAGTAAAGTTACCTGTCAAACCTTACGGCCTATGGGGTAAGCGAAGTAGAGTTCACATGTTTCTGTGACTTCAGCATATGAAGAGATAGTGTCGTCAGCACTAAGCTCAGCCTCCTTTAGTTTCCCTAACTATAGTCAGGTACCCATCTGAGCTGGCTGGTCTCAGGGACATTCTACTGACTTGAACCCGATAAAAAACTAAAAATTGGGTGTGGCAAAATATGCCCTTGTGGCAAGGCCCTGGAGAATACAGAGCACGTCCTTCAAGAATGTTCATTCTATAGCCAGGTGCGATCCAAACACTGGCCCCTACACACCCCACTCAAGGAAAAACTATATGGGGCACCCCCTGATCTGGAGACCACAGTCCAGTTCATACACGAAGTTGGGCTTGTTGTTTAAAACCTCCATCATATACTTAAGAAGAAGAAGAACCTGATTTGAACTCTAGACTTTCGGGTTAGTAGTCTAGCATATTACCGCTAGGCCACGCTTCCCCTTATTGGGTAAGGCTAACTGCTTATCCCTCCACACTCCCAGTTCTTTGTACATGTCCACTTTGAAATATGATTGACTTATAATTAATGGTTTAAAATATAATTTTTCTTCAACAGCATGCACTGACCAGCACTTCAAGACATGAATCCGTGGCGGTTGTACCGGTCGCTGACCAAATGCTCAGTAGACTTCAAGTGTATGTCACGTACCTTCATCCCCGCTCTAGTCGGCCTCTGCCTGGGCATGACCCTCAGCATGATGTACGCGCCTTTCAGCGACGACAGCTGTGAGACGTACATGGCAAACCAGGACCCTCAGACGATCAAGATGAGAGAGCCAAAGTCCCTGGACAGCAACAAGGACGAGAGCTTTGAGCCGCGCCAGCTGACTCACATAGACGAGTCCGCCTACAAGCTGGACACCAAGGCTGGCACCAAATTCTACCGGCCCAAGTTTGCAGCCACAGAGCTGGGTATACGAGAAAAATTGTTTGTGGCCGTTTTATCCTCTAAAGACACTCTCAACACATTGGCCGTGGCCATGAATAAGACAGTCAACCAGTATGTGACGAAAGTGGTGTATTTTATAGACAAAAAAGCAGCTGTAGTTCCCGCGGGGATGATTATAGTGAACTTTGATGATGGCTACAACCATCTGATGCCCACCAATGTGTTTAAGTATGTGATCAAGAAGTACGGCCATGACTATGACTATTACATGTTCATTTCTGACAAAGGATACATCAGGGCGGAGAAAGTGTTTGACCTTGTCAGTCACATCAGTGTCAGTCGACATGTTCACCTGGGATCACCTAAAGGTGTAGATGGAGGTAAAGCCTACTGTGCTTTAGAAGGTGGAATTATTTTATCTCAGGTTTGTTTTTGTTTTTTTAATCCTTTTTTATTTTACACATTGAGCTATTAATACTATTGTAAATCTAATCGTGTAGAATTATCCAGTAACAGATGGTAGAATCAATTGTCGCTATCTATTTTTATATTGTTTGAATGTTAAATGTTCAAATAATTGATTTAGTATAGAAAACCCTACTTGGTTTTTTTTTTTTTGGTTTTTTTTTTTGCTTTATAGTTTTCATCTAACAAAGAAAATTGGTAATGATGGATTCTGTAGAATTTCTTTACTTATCAGCTCAACTAATACAAGCCTAGAAATTAGTGTATAGCATTAAATTATAAGCTGCATACAGTAAATATTTACTTTGTTTAGTTGCAATAAATTATGCATAGGCCTCTAAACTCCATAAATAATCATACAGTATGTGTTGGATTCCAGGATTAATTTATTTATCCAACACACATTTTGTCTAGCTAACAAGTTAAGTTTATAATCTGTGTCCGAAACACAGCCAACACTTTAGTTCATCATGTACTTTTAGTTGTATGCTGTTGAAACTAGGTGGTTATATAAATAAACATTGTAAAGAAAAAAGTTATGTCTATTGGAAATGCAGAAGTGCCAGGTAATAAACAATTTGAGTATGAATAGTGATAGTTAGCGCACAGGTAGAGGAAGTTTTTAGGTGTACTTTACACAGTAGGCTCATGGAATCAAATTTAAAAATTAGTGCAACGAGCTCACTTCTTAAAATGCTATAATTTATTTTATTTTTTCTTCCGATTAAAATACTATACAATATAAATAGCTGCATTTATATTGTTCAATGATATTTTTCTAGATACAACATTCTTAAAATTATTTCTGCATTCTTTAATTTGAAGTTGTTTGGAGTGTTACTAACTTGTATTTGTACCATATAAATTTTGCACCACATGTTTGGGCGTATAAGTTTACACTTAATATTATCACTGCAAGTCAAATGTAATTTTAAACATTTTTAAACTGATACCTGAATTGTAATTATTGCTAAATAAAAATTGTTTAATTAGGGTATCGAACTTCATATTTTGTTTACACTTTTTTTTTAACAGTCTCTTCTGTCTCGTGTGAATGCAAGCTTAAAATGGTGCTTAGATAACTGTCACAGCAATGATCAGAGTGTCAACTTTGGTAAATGTCTCCTGCATGTGTCTGAGTTGGAGTGCACAAACACAGCAGCTGTAAGTCTATTTCTTTCTCATTGAATCACCAGACATTTTAAATTACCAACTACTGTTTAGCTTCATTTTTTTTTATAAATTATTTACATGAGCTGCTAGAAGATATGGGAGTGTAGTGAAATAAAAATATTCGGTCCTGTATGTCACACTGGTATAATAAAAAAGTTTTTTGAATTTGGGTTATGGCCAAGATTACGATTAAGCAAGAAAATAGATTTTATGGTAATATAAATTGTATGTATTATCTAAGAAGTAGCTTTCCATATATTTATTTTTAAATGCTAATTAATACTCATTGTAAAGCACTTTTATTTTGTAATTATATTTTCATTAAAAATTTTTAAAGAATTAGCAAATAATGTGATTATCATTGAATTATGTCATGAGTGTTTTTTTTAATAAACCTGTATTTCCAGAACAAAGTTTATAAAGCATTCCCTGTTAAAGATTTTAACTTCAACAAAAATATTGATAGCATGAAGGATCAACCTGACTTTAACAAATCATTGTCCATATATCCAATTCCTGATGATATAACTCACTACAAACTCCATAGGTAAAAACATCTATTTTTTTTTTAAAAATCTGCTCTCTTGAATTTATTTTCAATATTTTAGAATGAAATAGCTAATTTCTTGTTGGGCAAGTGAAATCTATTACTGTACATGATTTAGTTAAATAATATTTTAAATGTTTTCAGGTATTTTTGTGAGGTGGAGCTTAACTCTACCAGACACCAAATACAAGAGATGAAAGACAATATCTTGTACATGAGTCAGTTTGCTCCAGGAGGTAGAGACAGTATATCATGGCCAATAGGTAACCACAGGTTGTTTTTTTTCTGATTGCACACAGTTTATTAGATCTGAGCAGATTGTACACAGTTTATTAGATCCGAGCAAATTGTACACTGTTTATAAGATCTGAGCAATCAAATCAAATCTTTAAGTGTTAACTACATTCTTATCTATTTCCTTGCTCAACAACAGGTGTACCAGAACCTTATAAGCCTAAAAATAGATTTGATGTCATCCGCTGGGATTATTTTACGGAGACTCATATTTTCTTTCAAGATGATTTCACAAACGTGAAGGAACTTATAGGTTGGTCATAACTTTTTTTTTTTAATATAATTAAGTCATTAGCTAATTTTTGTGTTGGGTACATTTTGGCTAAATTGTATGCAATAAAACATCTTTTTCCATTGTGGCCCCTGGGGAGCAAAGAGCTGCAGACACACCTCTCCACTGGACTCTGTTTTGGGCAGCTCTCTTTATTTGTGCCCACGTAAGCCCGGCAACCCTTGCCTCTTCTTGAAGAACTTCTTCTACTGTTCTTTTCTAGGATTTCCTAGGCCGCCCTACTTCCCTCTTCCCCTGGGGATCCCAATCTAATGCTAACAATGTACACTAAATTATGGGTTAACTAATGTTGAATAATGTAAGATTTAATGATTTAAATAACAACTGTGCTGTAACAATGTTTTAGGAGTTGACAAGCTGGATATTCAGGACATAATCAAAATATCCATGGAGAAACTCAATGAAAAACACAACAACAAGTATTTGTACTCATACCTCATCAATGGCTACAGGCGATTTGATCCCCAGCGTGGTATGGAATATCTGCTTGACCTAGCTTTAGATGACACCTCCATACCAGCAGAAGAAAATGGAGAAAACAACTACAACAAAAGGATTGTAGAGAAAAGAGTTTTCCTCGTTCGCCCCTTAGGAGAGGTATAACAAATTTTTTCAAAGTATTAAATTATCCTTTTTCCTTATGTTTTTAAAAAAGAAATAATTGATAACATGTATATTTTTTTTAAAATGATGGATTACAATTAGTAAATTACTAATTTGTATTACAATAGAAAAATACAACTAATTATTATTTTATTTTTGAGAGAAGAAGTACAAATATATATATGCTAAATCTGTTTATATAGATCTACTTAAAACTGATTAAATAATTTAATCTCACACGCACAATGATGTATCAAAATTCTTCAGGTTGAAGTAGTTCCCATGCCCTATGTTACTGAATCCACCAGACTAAACATCATTCTACCCATCACACCAAGTGATTTAGATGGATGGGGTATTTTCCTGGAAAACTATGCAAGACTTCAGGTAATGACCAATGACACTTATTTTAGTATATGACCCAAACCCCCATTTGTAAGCTTATTTAAAATTATATTTCACAAGTATGAACAATGAACACCATTAGTGGTTTTAAGAGACAATGTAATGCTACATTTTATTGACATTTCCTCATTTAGGCTTATCCAAAATCAGAATTTATTTTATACATGAAGTGCTTTTAAGCTGGAGTTGAAATATATTAAAATCATCCTGTTAGACCAGACTGTCCATAAAGCAGATGAAGCAGAGTTTGGCTGAGGAAAGGATTTTGTGGTCAGCACACTGCCCAGCCACTTTTACTTTCTCCTACATAAGTCAGGTTTTTATAGCGCTGGTTGAGCTGAGACAATACAGTCCTACAGGCCTTTTACTTTTACTAAAGAGTTGACACCTCTATAGCAAAATATATAAAGACTGTAAAAATACATCAATTCTGTTGTTCTGTCTTGAACTGTAGGCTGATGCTGCTGACAACTTGGCCCTGATCATTGTCTTTATATACAACCAAATCCCCAAGACTGGCGAGGATGACATCTTCTCTGTCCTCAAATCAATGGTGGCTTACTACGACGACAAGAGTGAGGATGGGGTTAAAACTAAAACCATCAACTTCTCCAGTAATGGAACTTATGTGCCAGAGTTTAAAATCATTGACATGGTTAGTGTATTCTAGAAGTTTTATATTCCTTTTATATTCATGTTCAACAGCATTCAACCCTTTGTTAGTAGATGTATTGCAGAAAATTAGTAAAATAATATATATAAAAAAATAATTATTTATAATAATTTTATAAATATAAATTTTATTTATAATATATATATATATATTTTATATATATATATATATATATATATATATATATATATATATATATATATATATATATATATATATATATATATATATATATATATGTATATATATGTATATATATATATATATATATATATATATATATATATATATATATATATATATATATATATATATATGTATATATATGTATATATATATATATATATATATATATATATATATATATATATATATATATATATATATATATATGTATATATATGTATATATATATATATATGTATATATATATATATATATATATGTATATATATATATATATGTATATATATATATATATATATATATATATATATATGTATATATACACACACACACACACATAATACATACACATTTAATATTCATTATACATATGTACCTACACATGCAGAAATTATTGTGCTGTTGTTTTTTTTTAAATATAAAATTCGCTTTGATACTTTAGGTTAGTGAGCAGCTGGAGCCAGATGCCTTGATGCTGACGTGCACAGTGGGGATGCAGCTCAATGTTGAAATGTTGAACAGAGTCCGCATCAACACCATCCCAGGCTGGCAGGTTTTCTTCCCTGTAGGTTTCTGGCAATACAAGCCCAACCTCATCTACGACAAAAAACCGTACCCAACCGAGATAGAGTTCAGCAGTAAAACTGGACATTACGACGTACTGTCCTACGAGCATGGCAGTTTTTACAACTCTGATTACCAGGAAGCCAGGAAGTCAATGACCCAGGTGGAGTTGATGGAGAACGATCTATACGAGATTTTCGTCAAGTTTGGTAAAATTCATGTCTTCCGTGCCGTCGAGCCAGAGTTCAAGCACTACTACATGCAGCTGGATTGTCTGTCTAGCAGCCCGGCCAAGCTGTACGAGAGATGTGTGGAGAGGAAGTCGCTGAACCTTGCCACAAGAGCTCAACTTGCCAAGAGAATCTTCCAGTACCAGGCCAAAAGAGAATCTCAACAGAATCCAGCAAAGGAAGGTTAAAATTGATCTTAGTTTTATATAGAAATATTATATCTGTGTGTCTGTCTATTTATGTGCGTGAGTTGATATATATATATATATATATATATATATTCGTTTTTTCATGGGAAGTAATAGTATTAAACAGGTGTTTTCCTATAAACACATTTCACATCAGTTAAATATATTTAAAAAATTGTGTAAAACAATTCTTAAGGTAATTTAAAATCTGTCTTTAAGTGTAGTTTTGAAATTGGTGGAATATTAATATTTTAGAATATGAACAAAATACTACTAATGCTCTTATGGCTTACTTGTCTTGATTCCTTCTGTTCTTTATGAAGCAGACAGCTTAGATTAGACTTTATCAACAAACTCCATTATATACACCCTCATATAAGACCACTGCATCCCATCCCCTCCCATTATCTCCCATTTCTTTTGCATTCTATGTCCCAATTTAGTTTTGCCCTATTGGTTCACAAGGTTAGTTACATGTCTAAGACAGTTATTTAAAAAATTTTTGAACCTTGTCTCCCATACTAAACTTACACATTTGACTTGACTTTCCTGTCTTCTTAACTTTTGTCTTGTAGCTAGCGAAGCTGTTCCCATGTGATCAGTCATGAGTTGTATAAATGGTATTATTTCTTATATACATACACAACCAATTTGTTGAACTGTTGTTTAAAATATATTTATACCTAAAGAACAATTCTATCATAAGTGCCTTTGATTATTGAAGGTAGCATTAATTATTTAGGACTTTTTAACATGTTAATTATTAATTTCCAATCACTATCTATTAACAAAATGTTTTTTTCTAATTGTTGGGTGTAACTATGTTTTTGTACATGACAAATCTATTGTTGCTAAAAGTGATACATTAGCTGGGTTGTGGCACTTACTAAATAAATGTTAACTGTATACTTTGTTTACTTAACCCTTAAAGCGCGCTAAGCCACGATCGTTGCTTTGCTGTTACACAACGCGTAAGGCCACGTGGCATGCGCTTTAAGGGTTAGGATTTCAGATGAAGGAAAATTCAGATGTTTGTAAAAAATAGGGCTAATATTGTTAAATTATAGTGATCACCTTTGAATTCCATCTAATTTTTTAGAAATCTAAATCAAACTTAATTATCACATTTCTCTGGCTATTCAAGTGGTTAGAAAACTTTGTCTAATTACTTATTAGCTTACCCAAACACTTACTTGTACTTTTTTTTAATTAAGAAAATATCTGTCATTGTAAAAACTTTTTATTTAATGAACAATTTTTTTATGGTTAATTTTATTGTTTTATAATATCCATTTAAAATCTGGACATTTTTATATTCTTTAAAATAATGTACATAATTTCCCACTTTTTAAAGTGTTTAAAATTGTGATCTTTGTTTTGCCTTGCATGCATTCTCCCTTCCAATGTTTAAGTTCAGTCTAATTGTACATGAAATAAGTGGCTGTACATAGGGGTGACTATTGAAAAAAACGTATACACTTGTTTTATTTTACTTACACAAATGCATAATGATAATAATAATTGTGATGATTGTATTGTTTAATTTACTTAATATTAGAAATATTGATATACATATAGGATCTATGCACTACACATCAGTATTGTTCACAATGTTTTCTCTTGTACTGCTTGTTCATTTTTACAACAAATGTTAAGAGCCAAATAACTATCTAGTTCTTCCGAAGTCTGCACTCCGCCTTTCCCCACATTTTTATCTAAATGGTAATTTTCATTATATGGAATGTTTTACTTATGTGTCAATACTTTGGATCTGTTCTCAATTCAAATATTATTTTTTTACAATAAAACTCTAATTCAAATTTGTAATCAAATTTAAGATTGTGTGAACACTCCATTATTAAATCACCAGCTGTTTGCCAGACCTGAGATGTACTTGACTGTAAATGTGAGCCAATGATAACAACATGCAAGGTTCTGGTTGTGTAGACAAAAAAGTCCCTGCAACCCTCAGATATTATTGTACCTGTTTCACTGTTACTGGGAGTTGTGTTATTGTCATCTACAGGTTTCATTGGTTATTTGTTGATTTGAGTAGTCAAACCAGACATTTTACATTACAACTGTTCAAAGAATCATGTATTTTGTTTAGGATAGTTTTGTGCGCTAATCTTTTTGTTTACAATGAATTAATTTATAAAATCCACGCTAATTTTTCTTGTATTTTCTCAATACTGTGAGATGTATATGAACTTTGTTATAGAATGTAATTCCTAAATCAAAACTTTAAGATCACTCAACTTTTTATTTTTTTCACACTCAATAACAAAATAAAAGCAGATATTATGAGGTCATCATAAGATCTCCCATTGAGCATACAGTATTTATAATTTTTCCTTTTCACATCTCATCTCTCAACTTTCTGATTCTCAAATTCTTTAGTTTTGTTCTACAACTTTAATAATGGAAATATTGAGCAATGGCAGTTAATCAAGTTAATATTAAAGGGTTTCCTCTCTTTCATCAATATTAAGTATTTTAGAAATGTAAACTTCTTCAGTAACAATCATTAAATTCGTCTTTATTCTTTGGGACGGAGTGGTCTAGCGGTAGAGAGCTGGACTGCTAACCCGCAAGTCTCGAGTTCGAATCCGGGTTCAAGTCAATAGACCGTCCCTGAGTCCACCCAACTCTGATGGGTACTTAACTCATGTTAGGGATAGTAAAGGCGGCTGAGCATAGTGCTGACCACACTGTCTCTTCATATGCCGAGGTCACAGAAACAAGTGAACTCTACATCATTAACCCCATAGACCGTCAGGTTTGAAAGGGAAACTTTACTTTACTTTTTTATTCTACTCTGTCTCAAACTAAATTAAGCATATTAAATTTTGGTGTATTTTTTTTCACCTAAAAATGGTACATTCTACCCTCTTTTTACACTGCTCAAGAACAACTGTTTGCACTCAGCACTTTTTTGCTTTCAGTGCATATTTTTTTAAATGTAAACTTTGAATTGTTTAGGCATGTATCATTAACAATTTTCATCTATGGCTGTTGACAGAATGTGTGTAAAATGTTAGTGTTTACTTACTGTCTAATGACACTGTGTTAAATAAATATATATGTGGGTTAATGATCTTAGAAATATAATAAAATATGGTTACATTTTGATATGCGTTTTCTATTGATGATATTCTTTGTATTTGTAGTGGGTTTTTTTTTTATATCTTTGTCCTCTTTATCTTCTCCTTTGTTTTCAAATTTCAGTAGTTGTTTAAAAATTATTGTAAAGCTAAATCTAAAAAACGTTCTAAGTGTAATGGAAGAGAAATGAAAGATAGCCCAACTAATTGCCACTTGCTTGTCAAGATACTGCTTGTTAACTAATATAACCAGTTGTCGGTCAATGTAGTCGGACACCCTAACAATAATACTATAATACTTTTAATGACTGAAAAGACCTGCACTAGAGACGATTTAACTAGTTATTCATTCATACATTCATGTTATTGTTACACTGATTAAATGGACTTGCATAACTGGAGCCAAATAAATGTTATTATTGTATGATCTCTGCATACAGGGGATAATGTGGTCAGCACTATACTCAGCCACCTTTGTTATCCGGTTAGGTCAAATTTGATGTAATTGAATAACTAATTATTTTTTTATGAATTAATGAAAATTTACTAAATAAAGCACTATTGTATAAATTCAATTTCTTACCGGGGGGGGGGGGGGGTGGAGGCCGGGAGGCGGCGGTAGACTTTCTTAAAATCGTGTCTATATCCCGAGTTACCATCCATTGTTGTCTTATAGAACTTTAGTATATTCGAGAAAGTTTAGGGGAGATCACTCCCGCTATATTTTTTAAAAAAAATTTACAACAAAAAACACGGAAAGTAAACAAAACACAAAGCGTAAAATTACTTTTTAATGGAGGGAATTCCCGATAAATTCCAAATAGTTCCTTGCACCATTTAGTTCCCCTGACAAACTAAGTTCTACAATCAAATTTTTATATCCCTCTATCAACTCATAGGTCATTTTATGTTTTTAAATTAATTTATATTCTTTGAGAATCTGGTAAATTATGGCAGACGATTTGAACGCACAAATAGAACCACAGCCTGCCATCAAGCCACCTAATAACACTACAGAAAACAAATCGGCAGGAGGTGACGATGAAGAGAGTCTTGTTCCCGGCCCAGACAGCCCAATGCCGTTCTTGTCAAATGAAGTTTTACAAAAACGGGTAGAGTCTTTGTGATGATTTCTCACATAATTAATAATTAAATCGTAGTGTTCTACCTTACAGCTGTGTCGGAATTAGAAAAAAATTATGAGATTTTTATGACAAAAAGACCACATTCTCCAGCTTTAAAAACGAAGACAAATTTGCCTTACCGATGACGGAAGGATGAACTGACACACTAACTAGCGGCTTATATAATAGGCTAGCGGTTTTTTATTATAGATACGAGTAAGTTTAGGGGAGATCACCCCTCTCTAATTTGCGTTACAGCTCAACAGTAGGACACCTAATTCACTGTATTTAACAAAAACAAAACTATAACTTGACAAATTTGAGTTGTGTGCTCTCGACGACTGTCGGGCAGGTCGAATTAACGCGCTGGTTCCCGGGTCCTCTTATTGAAAGAGCTAATGTCTTTCCTGAATGAAGGGCTGGTCTTCTCATTGGTTTAATGACTAGTCCTCTCATGAAGAATTGGTCCTCTCACAGATTATTGGTCATCTCACTTGGTGAGTGGCTGGTCTCATATAGTATATAGTCTAACCACTTATGGTTTTCAATTAAGGAAATGTCACAGCTTCACCTAATATGTAAGTTTACTCTAGACCAGTGGCGTCTCTAGGCCGGGTGTCACGCGGTGCGGCACTTCATTTCATGGTCACCCCCCCCCCCCCCCAAAAAAAAAGTATATATATGTAATAGATTGAAATAATTGTGAGGTCAAGGGAACTCACTCTTCTGTATTAGTTATATTTATAATATTGTTATCTTGAGTGATGTCCCTTGTGTACTTCCTTCCGTCCTCTCTGGTATTACCATCATGAGGTAGTTAGACCCATTAAATGTGTTATATACAACC